AAAAAATGAGAGGGAGGAGAAAAAGGAGGAGAGAGAGAGAGAAGGGGAAAAGAGAGTGGAGAGGGGAGGGGGAGAGAGAGAGGAGAGAGGAAAGGGGAAAGGGAGAAAGGAAGGGGGAAAAGGGGGGGGGGGGTTCTGGCATGATTAATCTGATCTGATTTAAAACTGTCCACTCAATTTACCCCCTCACCAGCAGCACCCCTCATTGCCTCTGCACTGTTTGATCCCAGCCCTGTGTCCACCCTCCCCCGGCACAGGAAGAAAGGCTGTTTTAACAGAACCCAGAGTGGGCCGGGCCAAGCGGGCCGCGTGCCATCTGTACATTTCCACATTCTCTCATCGCCAGTGCTGCATTTCCTCTCCAGAAGCCATCCATCACCCACCACAGGCCCGCAGAGCGCTTGCCCTGCCCTGCTCCGCCTCGCAACACAACTACAAAGTCTTGGACTAAATTAGAGGGAAGGAGGAGGAGACGTAGGATGAAAGGTAGGAGGAGAGAGGAGGAGGAACAGCAATTAACTGACACTGGCCATACATAATTTCGGACATACGGGTATAAAGCTGCCCTCTGAAATGGAAATCATTGGGACGTGGGTTCCTTTGTGGACTGTAATAGTTTATGCAGTGGGCATGGTGGTGGGTTGGGTTGGGTTGGGGTGCAGAGGGCTGGGCTGTAGTGGCTGGATGCCAGGTTGGCAGAAACCAGGCTTGCCAGAAGGGCACAAATTGTCACAGCCATCGCTGGCAAAGCCTAACCACCATGAACGGGAGGAAGTGACATCATGCACCATAACTTTGCAAGCAGTGGTGATGGTCTTATAATGGGGATGGCGTAGCAGAGGAGGAGAGAGTCAAGAACCAGTTAACCACAGGGGGAAAAGCCATGGGGGTGTAATAAATGACAAGAGAGGGAAGGGCAGATTGCTATTTTCTGTTGAGGCTTGTGCCAGAGAGACAATCTAATTTGTATCAGTCTCCACATCCCCACCCCCAGCAGGATAAATAGTATACTCCACATCTGCAGTTTGTTTCTCCAGATAAGGACACAGACCAGACTGATTCAGTTCATACAACCATCACTGTACAGGATGTAGTGAGATTTAGGGGTCACTGTGTAAAGATAGATGGGCTGAGTGGCCTGCTTTAGGCCCTGTTCTCAGAACACTGAAGCTCTACACAGAAAGCTGACACATGTACATAAATGATGCTCCCAAACATCCTGAATGTGTCTATAAACAAGGCTCAATAATATTGTGATCTCTGAGCTGAATCCGATAGATTCTTCCTCTGTCAGTTTAGCTTCCACTGCAATATGATCTGAAATTACCTTCAGCAGCAAGAGGAGATGAGCACCTCTCTCTCTTTAGTTCACTTACTCTCCCTGTAACTTCATCATAAGAGCTGGACTGGGCTCACAAGGGGATGTGAGTCTGGAAACACCCCAGCCCATTATTCACTCCCAGTCTGGTCTGGGGAGAGTCTAGCCAGCCCACTAGTTAGAACATGGAGCACGCACCTCCATAGTAAAGAATACCCCTATGCCCAACACAAGCCTCTCCCTCTGAGGCCTTAGGCTTTAAAGGACTCTGCTAAACACATTCTCTTCCTATATTACCTTGTGATTGGGGGATATCTGGTTTCTACACCCTGTTTACACAGTTTTCCCTCTCTCCTTCTCTCTCATTCTCTCTCTCTCTCTCTCTCTCACATTCTTTGCTGGCGCTTTCCCCTCATGTATCAGGAGTATGAATGAATACACACAGACTACTTTACGTAGCGCTCTGTGAGCTCTCCCTAAAGGGCTGGATTATAACCCACTGTAGAGGAAACACCTCATACATGCACACACTGAATCCACAACCTCTACATCATGGGAGTGCTCAGAGAGGTGAGACAGTTCAACAGACCAGGTCAGTTACTCTGGGATATCAGTCATTGTTCCCCCTGTCCTGCCCCACATGAATGGTAACATTTGGATGTCATCAAAGACAAGAGTTCAGAGGGGCGGCTGCTTGTTGCACATTAAACAAGTGGTCATGAGCCTCCTCAACGTGTGAAAAACTCAGTCAATAATTGATACCGTTGTTCTCAAAGAAAGATCTAATTTGCCACTTAAACATCAAAGAAGCACCCTGGCAGTAGCTTGTACATCACCAGATTTTATATTAGATCATTGGTGGTGGTGTGAACGGGAGATAAATAGACTGATTTGGTTTTTACTTGTAAAGGGGTTTGTTAGTGTTCCAAAATATCTGATGGGAGGAAGCTGGTTTGTGTGTTTTCCACAGACTGTTGGTTTGATGTTGGGCCTGATTTGCTGCATTGACCAAGGGACAGATAGGAAGGACTTTTCCCCACAAACCTGTATATCCAGGGGATGTTGGCAAGGCCAGGTCCCTATGCAGCCATCCATTGTGTGGCCAAGTGAGAACTCTACTATCTAATTAAGGTTGTGGGGAAGTAGGATGGGAACTGAGCTGTGGAAATGCATGACACTTTTGGCCACGCCAACGGGGGACACCCTTATTGAACTTGTGTGTTTAGTTTATTGCTTTTATCAGTGCAGAGCCTACAGAATTATCCGTGGTTAAGCTTTGATGAGTTTGAAACATAAAAGTGGATTTTGGGGGCTTATTTATGGTATGCTTGTATTTCTTGACATTTGCCCTTTAAAAGGGAGTCACGATAGGCATTGTTTTTCACCTTGTGTGATATCAACTCTGTATTTATCCCATTACTTATTGTTACTCATAAATTGTGTTATTTGTCGCCCTCTTCTGGTCATAGGCATCCCCCCCCCCCCCCCCCCCCCCCCCCCCCCCCCACCCCCCACCCACCAGGGCCAATATCACAACAGGAAAAACAAATGCCCACTCGCTGAGGTCAACAATTACAGTGAGCACAGTACCCATAATTTCCTCCTTTGGAAGGATATATCTCCCAAACACTTATAACTCTCAAAGTCCATTTACTGGAAATACTCAAACTTTATTGCTGTCCTCAATATAAGCTGCTCTCTCACTTTAATTTTGTTCAGTAATTATGATCATAACGTTTGTGGATTAGTCTCAGTTCCTTTAGATAACAGCACAGGAGACATCTGTTTACCCACAATGATGAGCCTGTGGTGCTGCTCTGTGGACCTTTCTAGTGGAACATCCATAATGGGCCTTAATTGGGAGGTTAATTGTGTGTGGTGCAGAAAGAGCATTGATTACAAAACCAGTGGTATTTGAGTGCATACATTCATATTTATGTATCACTCTCTAAATCCTCTTATATCGCACAGTAAATCCTTTTCCACTCATGGATAATAAAATGCTTCAAGAAGAATCAGAACGGTCATTTCCATGTCCAATCATACATACATAATGTGAGGGATAGTGTAGGTTTTGACTGTAATTAATTGTGTCAAGCATTCATCACCATGTACGTATGCAGATACAAAGATACAAACTTGTGACACATTTTACAAGGAGAGTCAGCTATGTATCCATGTGCAGCCTCCATTCATCGGTGCTCTTTGAATATGTCTGAAGGCAGTGGGAGCTGTGAAATCAATGGGACACATTAAAACTGCTAGAGTTGATAATGACGTCCTGTAAGAGCTGATTTCAGTTGATAATTCTGTTTGTGAAGTACAGTGCATTCGGAAAGTATTCAGATCCCTTCCTTTTTTCCACATTTTGTTACATTACAGCCTTATTCTAAAATGGATTAAATAATACTAAAAATTGAGCTCACGTGCATCGTGTTTCCATTGATTATCCTTGAGATGTTTCTACAACTTGATTGGAGTCCACCTGTGGTAAATTCAATTGATTGGACATGATTTGGAAAGGCACACACCTGTCTATATAAGGTCCCACAGTTGACAGTGCATGTCAGAGCAAAAACCAAGCCATGAGGTCGAAGGAATTGTCCGTAGAGCTCCGAGACAGGATTGTGTCGAGGCACAGACCTGGGGAAGGGTACCAAAACATTTCTGAAGCATTGAAGGTCACCAAGAACACAGTGGCCTCCATCATTCTTAAATGGAAGACGTTTGGAACCACCAAGACTCTTCCTAGAGCTGGCTGCCCGGCCAAACTAAGCAATCGGGGAGAAGGGCCTTGGTCAGGGAGGTGACCAAGAACCCGATGGTCACTCTCAGAGCTCCTGAGTTCCTCTGTGGAGATGGGAGAACCTTCCAGAAGGACAACCATCTCTGCAGCACTCCACCAATCAGGTCTTTATGATAGAGTGGCCAGACAGAAGCCACTCCTCAGTAAAAGGCACATGACAGCCTGCTTGGAGTTTGCCAAAAGGCACCTAAAGACTCTCAGACCATGAGAAACAAGATTCTCTTGTCTAATTAAACCAAGATTGAACTATTTGGCCTGAATGCCAAGTGTCACGTCTGGAGGAAACCTGGCACCATCCCTACGGTGAAGCATGGTGGTGTCAGCATCATGCTGTGGGGATGTTTTTCAGCGGCAGGGACTGGGAGACTAGTCAGGATCGAGGCAAAATGAACGGAGCAAAGTACAGAGAGATCCTTGATGAAAACCTGCTCCAGAGTGCTCAGGACCTCAGACTGGGGCGAAGGTTCACCTTCCAACGGTACAACGAACCTAAGCACACAGCCAAGATAACGCAGGAGTGGCTTCGGGACAAGTCTCTGAATGTCCTTGAGTGAATGTCCAAGGTACTGAGTAAGGGGTCTGAATACTTATGTAAATATGATATTTCATTTTTTATTTATATAAATTAGCAAACATTTCTACAAACCCGTTTTTGCTTTGTCATTATGGGGTATTGTGTGTAGATTGATGAGGGGATTTTTTTTTTTAAATCAATTTTAGAATAAGGCTGTCACCTAACAAAATTTAGAGAAAGTCAAGGGGTCTAAACCCTTTCCGAAGGCTCTGTATGATAGTGTGAGGGTATGTGATTTTCTCACAGCACGTGTAAGGGCAAGGCGATAAGGAGAGTTGCTTTATCACCTCTGGATTTACAGGCACAGGGTGGCCACCAGGCAGGACTCCAGGCAGGATGCCACCAGGCTGGCCACCACCAGGGCCCAGGCATGGGAGGAACACAGACAGTCAGAGTGTGTGAAAGAAGTGAGTGAAAAAAATGTTTTGAAAAAAAGAGAGAGGTACTGGGCTGGAGAGAGAAAAACGGCAGGGCGGTCATTAAAGGCATGTGTTGAACATACTGAGAAGCAGTGAAAGAACAAGAGAGGGAGAGAGAGAGACAAAATGAGTGGTTGCGCCTGTCATGGTTTTACTGGCTTCAGTGGTGGATTTGGAGTGGATGGAAAACAAGACGCCATTTCGTGTGCCATTAAAATATGCGGCACCATGGCCTCCCAACTGCCCCCCCCCCACCCCACCCCTTCACACACACACACAGGGAGGGTGGGGGCCAAAACCTTGTTCCCCTACATGTGGGGTTTCCAGCCCAGTGACAGCACCCTGTAGTCCCAGTGACAGCGCCCTGTAGTCCCAGTGACAGCGCCCTGTAGTCCCAGTGACAGCACCCTGTAGTCGGGGTGATGCAGCTTCAGGAGTAGCTCCTCATATTGGAGGAGCGTGTTTGTGTTGGCACAGAATTAATAACTTTTCATTTAGTGCGGAAATGACAGGAATAGAAATTAAGGAAATGGAATGATTTTATTGGACATGATGTTTATATTAAGTTACAGATGTGAGGCAGCTGCTCATGCAGAGAGGCCCTGCCCCCAGAGCGATATCACTGGGGTAGAGGAACAGGGGGTGGGTTATTAAAGGAAGATAACACAAGCCAAATGCATTTCCCCATATAAAAAACATACAGTGCATTCGGAAAGTAGACCCCTTTTTTTTTTTATGTCCTCATCAATCTACACACAATACCCCATAATGACAAAGCAAAAACAGGTTTTTAGACATTTTTGTATTCAGACCCTTACTCAATACTTTGTTGAAGCACCTTTGGCAGCGATTACAGCCTCAAGTCTTCTTGGGTATGACGCTACAAGCTTGGCACACCAGTATTTGGGGAGTTTCTCCCATTCTTCTCTGCAGATCCCCTCAAGCTCTGTCAGGTTGGATGGGAGCATTGCTGCACAGCTATTTTCAGGTCTCTCCGGAGATGTTCGATCGTATTCAAGTCCGGGCTCTGGCTGGGCCACTCAAGGACATTCAGAAACTTGTCCCGAAGCCACTCCTGCGTTGTCTTGTCTGTATGCTTAGGGTCGTTGTCCTGTTGGAAGGTGAACCTTCGCCTCAGTGTGAGGTCCTGAGTGCTCTGGAGCAGGTTTTCATCAAGGATCTCTCTGTACTTTGCTCCGTTCATCTTTCCCTCGATCCTGACTGGTTTCCCAGTCCCTGCAGCAGAAAAACATCCCCACAGCATGATGCTGCCACCACCGTGCTTCACCGTAGGGATGGTGCCAGGTTTCCTCCAGACGTGACGCTTGGCATTCCGGTCAAAGAGTTCAATCTTGGTTTCATCAGACCAGAGAATTTGGTTTCTCATGGTCTGAGAGTCCTTTAGGTGCCTTTTGGCAAACTCCAAGCGGGCTGTCATGTGCCCTTTACTGAGGAGTGGCTTCCGTATGGCCACTCTGCCATAAAGGCCTGATTGGTGCAGTGCTGCAGAGATGGTTGTCCTTCTGGAAGGTTCTCCCATCTCCACAGAGGAACTCTGGAGCTCTGTCAGAGTGAACATTGGGTTCTTGGTCACCTCCCTGACAAATGCCCTTCTCCCCTGATTGCTCAGTTTGGCCGGGCAGCCAGCACTTGGAAGAGTCTTGGTGGTTCCAAACTTCTTCCCTTTAAGAATGATGGAGGCCACTGTGTTCTTGGGGACCTTCAATGCTGCAGACATTTTTTGGTACCCTTTGGTACAATTCCTTCAACCTCATGGCTTGGTTTTTGCTCTAACATGCACTGTCAACTGTGGGACCTTATATAGACAGGTGTGTGCCTTTCCAAATCATGTCCAATCAATTGAATTTACCACAGGTGGACTCCAATAAAGATGTAGAAACAGCTCAAGAATGATCAATGTAAACAGGATGCACCTGAGCTCAATTTCAAGTCTCGTAGCAAAGGGTCTGAATACTTATGTAAAGAAGGTATCTGTTTTTAATTTTTAATACATTTGCAATCATTTCTAAAAACCTGTGTTCACTTTGTCATTATGGGGTATTGTGTGTAATGTAACAAAATGTGGAAAAAGGGAAGGGGTCTGAATACTTTCTGAATGCACTGTAAAGCAGTTGTGGATAGCAAATTGGACCAATTTCAAGTGCATTTTAATGTATGAGGAAACATTCTAAAGTACTCTGAAGCCATATGACATTTTCATAAACGTGCCCCTGTAGCATAATGTATTTGCACATATCACATTACCCTATTTCAGGCCTGATTTACCTGACTGGAAAAGTTAATATTGAAGAGTGGTGGTTCAGCATTTTTTGGGTGGCCCACACCCATGGTCGTCCCATCTCCTACTGTAATGGGGGCTCAAAATCCTATAACAGGCAGTGACAGAACTGCTGATTCTCTCTATTGTATGCTGTGGGGCCCAGGGCCAGCCAGGGTTCCTAATTTAAAGCCAATTTGAACCCTGCTGGGCCCTATTCTCCTGTATGCCCATAGAAATGACTCACACTGGTGGTTCTAGAATAAGCCATCTTTGTCCACCCTAACCCATGCCTATTCGAGGTGGCGTGCCTGGTAACTGCAATGCCCAGTATGCGTCAACTTGCCTTTTGTCCAGATGGACACTTGGAGTAAACACAATATGGGTGTCCTCTTGGCTCCTGGAGTAATTGTGTCTTCTCTAAAGCTGATCTCCAAACAGTGTGATTAGAGTAATGGTCTTCATTGTGCAGCTTTAATCAGCCTTTACAGCTCTGGATGAGATGGTCATTGATTCAAGAAGGGCTGGAGGAGAAGCAATCCAAAACATTGGAACATGGCAGGACTCTCTCTCTTTCTTCCATTGATTTGGGGTGTTCACCGCTTCAGGTTATTTGTAATGGTGAACTCCTGAAGGAAGTTATTGGTTAACATGTCGTGAGTGTGTGTGCGTGCCTGTGTGAGTATGTGGATGATGTACAACTGAGAATATACACTACCGGTCAAAAGTTTTAGAACACCTACTCATTCAAGGGTTTTTCTTTATTTGTTCTACATTGCAGAATAATAGTGAAGACATCAAAACTATGAAATAACGCATATGGAATCATGTAGTAACCAAAAAAGTGTTAAACAAATCAAAATATATTTTATATTTGAGATTCTTCAAATAGCCACCCTTTGCCTTGATGACAGCTTTGCACACTCTTGGCAACCTTCTCTCAACCAGATTCACCTGGAATGCTTTTCCAACAGTCTTGAAGGAGTTCCCACATTTGCTAAGCACTTGTTGGCTGCTTTTCCTTCACTGTGGTCCGACTCATCCCAAACCATCTCAATTTGGTTGAGATCGGGTGATTGTGGAGGCCAGGTCATCTGATGTAGCACTCCATCACTCTCCTTCTTGGTCAAATAGCCCTTACACAGCCTGAAGGTGTGTTTGTTCATTGACAAATGATAGTCTCACTAAGCCCAAATCAGATGGGATGGCGTATCGCTGCAGAATGCTGTGGTAGCCATGCTGGTTAAGTGTGCCTTGAATTCTAAATAAATCACAGACAGTGTCACCAGCAAAGCACCCCCACACCATAACACCTCCTACTGCATGCTTTATGGTGGGAAATACACACGCTGAGATCATCCGTTCACCCACACCGCGTCTCGCAAAGACACGGCGGTTGGAACCAAAAATCTCAAATTTGGACTCCAAAGGACAAATATCTACCGGTCTAATGACATTTCTCGTGTTTCTTGGCCCAAGCAAGTCTCTTCTTCTTATTGGTGTCCTTTAGTAGTGGTTTCTTTGCAGCAATTCGACCATGAAGGCCTGATTCACACAGTCTCCTCAGAACAGTTGATGTTGAGATGTGTTTGTTACTTGAACTCTGTGAAGCATTTATTTGGGCTGCAATTTCTGAGGCTGGTAACTCCAATGAACTTATCCTCTGCAGCAGAGGTAACTCTGGGTCTTCCATTCCTGTGGCAGTCCTCATGAGAGCCAGTTTCATCATAGCGCTTGATGGTTTTTGAACCTGCACTTGAAGAAACTTTCAAAGTTCTTGAAATGTTCCACATGACTGACCTTCATGTCTTAAAGTAATGATGGACTGTCGTTCCCACCCCCACCCTCCACCTTGTCACAACACAACTGATTGGCTTAAACGCATTAAGAAGGAAATAAATTCCACAAATTGAATTTTAAGAAGGCACACATGTTGATTGAAATGCATTCCAGGTGACTACCTCATGAAGCTGGTTGAGAGAATGCCAAGAGTGTGCAAAGCTGTCATCAAGGCAAAGAGTGGTTATTTGAAGAATCTCAAATATAAAATATATTTTGATTTGTTTAACGCTTTTTTGGTTATTACATGATTGCATATGTGTTATTTCATAGTTTTGATGTCTTCACTATAATTCTACAATGTAGAAAATAGTAAAAATAAAGAAAAACCCTTGAATGAGTAGGTGTTCTAAAACTTTTGACCGGTAGTGTATATGTGTCAAAATCTGGAAAGATGAATGACACTAGAGAGATGTATTGCTTTTGAGTAACAACAAAGAGGACATGCCACACGCTCATATTCAAAAGCGCAGATGCTCACACGCATATCATCATTTGCCAGAGTATGATGAAAACATGGAGTCAAAAGAACAAATCCTACTAGCCTGTCAGATTACTCTCTCCTTCACTATGTCAAAATGAATGTTCTCTAAGCCACCATTTTGTGTTCCGTTGCTATTGCTTTTTTCAAGCACTTTTTTATTTCCTGCAATGGCAGGGCCCTGCCCATTACATTAGTGTTGTTTTGCTTCGCTGTGATGTGCTCCCATCTGGTTCGCAGTGAAAATGCATCACTCCATTAACATTGCCTGTGATCTAGGATGCTTTAATCTAAGACTATACACTCCACTTAATTACATCCTCCAAAAGAGCTCTATTAGTATAATGCAATCAAATAGTGAATACATCCATTCTGGCAAGTCAAACATGCTAAAGTTGCAGTTGAAAAGGGTTTACTTCTGTCTTACGATCAGATCTTAAAATCATATTTAATACAGTGGCTTGCGAAAGTATTCACACCCCTTGGCATTTTTCCTATTTTGTTGCCTTACAACCTAGAATTAAAATGGATTTTTGGGGGGTTGTATCATCTGATTTACACAACATGCCTACCACTTTGAAGATGCAAAATATTGTTTTTTGTCTGAAACAAACAAGAAATAAGACAAAAAAACTGAAAATTTGAGCGTGCATGACTTCCCCCCCATTCTTCAAGGCAAAACTGCTCCAGCTCCTTCAAGTTGGATGGGTTCCGCTGGTGTACAGCAATCTTTAAGTCATACCACAGATTCTCAATTGGATTGAGGTCTGGGCTTTGACTAGGCCATTCCAAGACGTTTAAATGTTTCCCCTTAAACCACTTGAGTGTTGCTTTAGCAGTATACTTAGGGTCATTGCCCTGCTGGAAGGTGAACCTCCGTCCCAGTCTCAAATCTCTGGAAGACTGAAACAGGTTTCCCTCAAGAATTTCCCTGTATTTAGCGCCATCCATCATTCCTTCAATTCTGACCAGTTTCCCAGTCCCTGCCGATGAAAATCATCCCCACAGCATGATGCTGCCACCACCATGCTTCACTGTGGGGATGGTGTTCTCGGGGTGATGAGAGGTGTTGGGTTTGCGCCAGACATAGCGTTTTCCTTGATGGCCAAAAAGCTCAATTTTAGTCTCATCTGACCAGAGTACCTTCTTCCATATGTTTGGGGAGTCTCCCACATGCCTTTTGGCGAACACCAAACGTGTTTGCTTATTTTTTTCCGTAAAGCCCAGCTCTGTGGAGTGTACGGCTTAAAGTGGTCCTATGGACAGATACTCCAATCTCCGCTGTGGAGCTTTGCAGCTCCTTCAGGGTTATCTTTGGTCACTTTGTTGCCTCCTTGCCTGGTCCGTGAGTTTTGGTGGGCGGCCCTCTCTTGGCAGGTTTGTTGTGGTGACATATTATTTCAATTTTTTAATAATGGATTTAATGGTGCTCCGTGGGATGTTCAAAGTTTCTGATATATTTTTATTACCCAACCCTGATCTGTACTTCTCCACAACTTTGTCCCTGACCTGTTTGGAGAGCTCCTTGGTCTTCATGGTGCCGCTTGCTTGGTGGTGCCCCTTGCTTAGTGGTGTTGCGGACTCTGGGGCCTTTCAGAACAGGTGTATATATACTGAGATCATGTGACAGATCATGTGACACTTAGATTGCACACAGGTGGACTTTATTTAACTAATTATGTGACTTCTGAAGGTAATTGGTTGCACCCGATCTTATTTAGGGGCATCATAGCAAAGGGGTTGAATACATATGCACGCACCACTTTTCCATTATTTATTTTCTATAATTTTTTTTAACAAGTTCTTTTTTTCATTTTACTTCACCAATTTGGACTATTTTGTGTATGTCCATGACATGAAATCCAAATAAAAATCAATTTAAATTACAGGTTGTAATGCAACAAAATAGGAAAAATGCCAAGGGGGATGAATACTTTTGCAAGGCACTGTACATATATTCAGACCTAAGCCTACTGTATACTGTATTGAATTTGCAAAAAAAAACGGATGCATTGTTAATTGGCAAAAGGTTCCCTTTCTGTGCAGTGAAAGAGTATAACAACTGAGACTTCAAACAAATCAACAGTCACTGCCATTGTCTCTGGACTCTGGTCTCTGTCAGTGTGGAAATCTGACATCTGACTTTACATGGAAAACTGATGTCTGATCTTTCATACTTTCTACTCTATTACTTCCAGTCATATCTGTAATCACACTATGCGTGAGTGATGCTTATTTCCAATATTTTGTTTTATTAAACATCAAGAGAAAAAAGTAAAAGTCTGGTTATAATTTCAATACAAAGACGTTATTATGAAATGCAAGATGCAAAGCAATGACTTTTGTCATAGTGTCACAATAAAAGATTTGGCTCACCTGAATGACACAATTTGCTATAGTGGTATTTGGTATTTTATTAGGGTCCCCATTAGCTGTTGCGAAAGCAGCAGCTACTCTTCCTGGGGTCCACACAAAACATGAAGCATAATACAGAACATTAATAGACAAGAACAGCTCAAGGACTGAACTACATCAATTTTAAAATGGCACACGTAGCCTGCATATCAATACATACACACAAACTATCTAGGTCAAATAGGGGTGAGGAGTTGTGCCGTGAGGTGTTGCTTTATCTGTTTTTTGAAACCAGGTTTGCTGTTCATTTGAGCAATATGAGATGGAAGGAAGTTCCATGCAATAATGTCTCAATATAATACTGTACGCTTTCTTGAATTTGCTCTGGATTTGGGGACTGTGAAAAGACTCCTGGTGGTCCCGTGTAGCTCAGTTGGTAGAGCATGGGGTTTGCAACGCCAGGGTTGTGGGTTTGATTCCCACAGGGGGGCAGTATGAAAAATGTATGCACTCACTAAACTGTAAGTCGCTCTGGATAAGAGCGTCTGCTAAATGACTAAAATGTAAAAATGTAAATGTCTAGTGGGGTAAGTGTGAGTGTCAGAGCTCTGTGTAATTGACTATGCAAACAATTTGGAATTGTCAACACATTAATGTTTCTATAAAAATAAGAAGTGATGCAGTCAGTCTCTCCTCAACTATTAGCCAAGCGAGACTGGCATACATAGTATTTATATTAGCCTCTGATTACAATGAAGAGCAAGACCTGCCGCTCTGTTCTGGGCCAGCTGCAGCTTAACTAGGTCTTTCCTTGCAGCACTCGACCACACGACTGGACAATAATCAAGATAATACTTTTTGGAGTGCGGTGTCATAAAAGCAGAGCATCTTTTAATTATGGACATACCTCTCCCCATCTTTACAACCATTGAATCTATATGTTTTGACCATGACAGTTTATAATCTAAGGTAACACCAAGTAATTTAGTCTCCTCAACTTGTTCAACAGCCACACCATTCATTACCAGATTCAGCTGAGGTCTAGAACTTAGGGAATGATTTGTACAAATACAATGCTCTTAGTTTTAGAGATGTTCAGGACCAGTTTATTACTGGCCACCCATTCCAAACAGACTGCAACTCTTTGTTAAGGGTTTCAGTGACTTCATTAGCTGTGGTTGCTGATGCATATATGGTTGAATCATATCCAATGAGTCATTGTTCTTTGATCCTCAATTCTTACAGAACATTTTAAAAAAGCTCAGCTCAGGGTAAGTATCTTACCGGAGATAATTAACTAGTAAACCTATCAAAGATATGTGCACATCTGTGGTTGGAGTTGTGGGCTATTCAATTAGGGGAAAGGATCACTTGAAAACATGTTGAATTTTTTTTATCCACCTATCAATGAATTCCTGAATATGTTATTGACACCATGACAAAATAGTAGCCAGTTGACCCCCCCCCCCCCCCCTCCATTGCATCTCTTTAAACAAAATCTAAATAAGCTAAATAATATGACATCTTTGATTGAGTTGACAGAATTTCTATGATGACGGTCCTGTTCCGTTCATTGCGTAACATCCGACATTCAGGGTGAAGACTTCCTGACTGCTCCACGATGGCGTCCTGCTCTGAGGTTGGTGTTTTGACGAATTATATCCTGAAATAATAAAAAGGGGGGTTTCATTAGTTTTGACTAAGATATACAGTTACTGAAAATCAAACTGACATTTTAAATATATTAGTGTACCCAATGCAGAACCCATATCAGTACTTCTAATGTCTTTGTTTACAGTCTCATGGCTAGCGCCAACAGCCTTACGTAGCTAACTTGCTAGCATTTCAGACCATTCCCTTTATCCCTCTTAGCTATATATGTATCTTTCGATTTGCTTTTAGCCACTGATGTGTTTGTATTATGGATTAGCATGATAAGTAACTTAGCTAGCGTTACCTTGCTGTGTCTTGCCATTGTACAGCATGGATCCAACATTACTTATGTTAGCTAACTAATGTTTATGCGATTTTCCATAGGGATCTGCGTCGGTCAGTTATGAGCCGACCGAAAGTGCTGCATCTCAGAAGAGAGAGGAGAGACTACGAAAATTCCGGGAACTGCATTTCAAAAGGGTGAGTTTGTTCAAAGGTTCTCCTATTTCAGACACCTTCTATTAACGTCTTAGCCCAATAATGGACAAAAGGAGCCTAACGTTACTCCTTATAGACTAAGGCTCCAGCCCAAAAGCCAGCAGAAGGCTATGTTGAGTCATTTCATCTTACCGTCCAAAGCAAAAACCAAAGGGAATTTATGCAGCTGGCTATACACTTATCCCCCGTGGACCGGTTCGTACATAAAACATTCTCCATTCAGGCTGCAAATGCGTCGATTTCCTCCATAACTCGATTTAATGGCAGGAGAAAATATGCATACTTTCTTTATGACACAACAGTGCTATAGTGGCTAATGCTAGTCCTGGATGTTTAGTATGGCGTTCAGCCAATCAGACCAGGGGTGAAAAAAGACTGCTGCAACCTGATTGGCTGAACGCGATATGCAACATTCGGACTAGCAAGCAAACTAACAAGCGCTGTAACATGGACATGTGGGAACCCTATAAAGTTTTGTTGTAGTTTAACCTTTATTTTTTTTTTGAAAAATATTTCTCACAGATATGTTCCTTATGTTTCCAAAATCGTACCCCAAGCGATGCGTTTTAACGTTCAGAACGAGCATCAGTGCTCATCACAAAACTTCCCCGGCCAGAACATACTATTGTCAATGGGTACTAAAGATAGTTAGCGTCTATGAATGGGTTAGTAACATCTTAGTAGCGTACCCTCATTTGAGCTCACAAGTAGCTTGAGTTTATATGGTATATCTTGGATCTGTGTTCTTTGTATTCAAGTTCTGGAATTGATGTATTTTATGGTATCCGTTGCAGAATGAAGCACGCAAGCTCAATCACAAGGAGGTTGTGGAGGAGGACAAGAGACTGAAGCTGCCAACTAACTGGGAGGCTAAGAAAGCCCGTCTGGAGTGGGAACTCATGACCGATGAAAAGAAAAAGGTAGCGACCTCTTTATCAATGGACATAATTAACTGCTATGCATAAAGGGAAATTTCACCCAGGGTGACTCTGTTTTGATCGTGTCTGAGGCATTTCTAGGTCAGTGAGATGGGTTTCACACATAATTGGCCACAAAGAAGGCAGGTCTGGGCTTCGCGCGTCGAACGGTACACCCGATGACTGCATCCGGTGTATTGACTGGGTGGACAAGATCTAAAAATGACTGTAGTCCTGCCTTGTGGCATTTCGCGAAGCTACTATATGTTTGTCGGCATGTGGATATGGTTGTCCTTGTTCGATAGAGCCATTGGACGTCTTTCAGCGATGTTCCTATCGGCTGATTAATTGCTAGATATACAAGGGAACAGATTTCTTTCCAGTCTCTAAAAGACTACAGCTCGGTGTGGGGTGGAGCTTCCTGCTCTGGCCCTTTTGTGCATTCACTGTGAATGCTGGACCTTGTGGTTCACTATGAGCAGACAAATACACAGGAAGTCGAAACTTCCTGATTCTAATAGGGAAATGAAAATGTGCGCATTTTATCTTGCGTTGAGGAATGTAATGTTAATATAGTAATGACTATATACAGTGGCAGAGCTAAGGTGAAATAATTATTATCATAGAGACTGCTTTGTTGGATGAACAGTCATGTGTAAGCTGATGTTTTTTTGTTGGCTGGTCAAAAAGATGTCCGAAGTCAACTGCAAATTGTGTACCTTAGGATAATAGATAAGTAATGTTATAAGTTATCTAGTAATTGTATGTACTCTGTTGCTGTTTAGTGACTTGGTGTGTTTCTGTGTGATTTCAGGAGTGTGCGGCCAAAGGGGAGGACTATGACAGGGTGAAACTGCTGGAGATCAGTGCTGAGGATGCTGAGCGGTGGGAGCGAAAGAAGAAGAAGAAGAACCCTGACCCAGGATTCTCAGGTGAGAGATAGGACTCCTTTACTGAGTGAACAGGACTTCCATCCCTCAGCTGGTCAGTTTTCCTGAACAAGAAAAACTGGTCCCTATTTATAGGCTATTATATATTATACTGAACAAAAATATAAACGCAACATGTAAAGTGTTTGTCCCATGTTTCATGAGCAAAAAAAGAAATCCATGACAGTTTCCATACGCATGAAAAGCTTATTTCTCTAAGGTTTTGCCCACAAATGTGTTTACATCCCTGTTAGTGAGCTTTTCTCCTTTGCTAAGATAATCCATGCACCTGACCAGTGTGGCATATCAAGAAGCTGATTAAACAGCATGATCTATTACACAGGTGCACCTTGTGCTGGGGACATTGTCTTACACAACACAATGACGCAGATGTCTCAAGTTTTGAGGGAATGTGCAATTGGCATGCTGACTGCAGGAATGTCCACCAGAGCTGTTGGCAGATAATTAAATGTTAATTTCTCTACCATAAACTGCCTCCAATGTTGTTTTAGAGAATTTGTCAGTACGTCCAACCGGCCTCACAACCGAAGAGCATGTGTAACCACGCCAGCCCAGGACCTCCACATCCAGTTTCTTCACCTGTGTGTATTTCTGTCTGTAATAAATCCCTTTTGTGGGGAAAAACTCATTCTGATTGGCTGGGCCTGGCTCCCAATTCATCATATAGTAACCAAAAAAGTGTTAAACAAATCAAAATATATTTTAGATTTTAGATTCTTCAAAGTAGTCACCCTTTACCTTGATGACAGCTTTGCACACTCTTGCCATTTTCTCAACCAGCTTCATGAGGTAGTCACCTGGAATGCATTTCAATTAACAGGTGTGCCTTGTTAAAAGTTAATTTGTGGAACTTCTTTCCTTCTTAATGCATTTGGGCCAATCAGTTGTTGTGACGATAGGGGTTGTATACAGAAGATAGCCCTATTTGGTAAAAGACCAAGTCCAAAAACAGCTCAAATAAGCAAAGAGAAACGACAGTCCATAATTTCTTTAAGACATGAAGGTCAGTCAATCTGGAACATTTCAAGAACTTTGAAAGTTTCTTCAAGTACAGTCGCAAAAACCATCAAGCGTTATGATGAAACTGGCTCTCATGAGGACCGCCACAGGAAAGGAAGACCCAGAGTTACCTCTGCTACAGAGGATAAGTTCATTAGAGTTACCAGCCTCAGAAATTGCAGCCCAAATAAATGCTTCACAGAGTTCAAGTAACAGACGCATCTCAACATCAACTGTTCTGAGGAAACTGCATGAATCAGGCCTTCATGGTCGAATTGTTGCAAAGAAACCACAACTAAAGGACACCAATAAGAAGAAGACTTGCTTGGGCCAAGAAACATGAGCAATGGACATTAGACCGGTGGAAATCTGTCCTTTGGTCTGATGAGTCCAAATTTGAGATTTCTGGTTCCAACCGCCGTGTCTTTGTGAGACGCAGAGAGCGGATGATCTCTGCATGTGTGGTTCCCACCGTGAAACATGGAGGAGGTGGTGTGATGGTGTGGGGGTGCTTTGCTGGTGATTTTATTTAGAATTCAAGGCACACTTAACCAGCATGGCTACTACAGCATTCTGCAGCAATACGTCAACCCATCTTGTTTGTGCTTAATGGGACTATCATTTGTTTTTCAACAGGACAATGACCCAACACACCTCCAGGCGGTGTAAGGGCTATTTGACCAAGAAGTAGAGTGATGGAGTGCTCCATCAGATGACCTGGCCTCCACAATCACCTGACCTCAACCCAATTGAGATGGTTTGGGATGAGTTGGATCGCAGAGTGAAGGAAAAGCAGCCAACAAGTGCTCAGCATATGTGGGAACTCCTTCAAGACTGTTGGAAAAGCATTCCAGGTGAAGCTGGTTGAGAGAATGCCAAGAGTGTGCAAAGCTGTCATCAAGGCAAAGGGTGGCTATTTGAAGAATATAAGATATAAAATCTATTTTGATTTGTTTAACACTTTTTTGGTTACTACATGATTCCATATGTGTTATTTCATAGTTTTGAAGACGTCACTATTATTCTACAATGTAGAAAAATTGTAAAAATAAAGAAAAACCCTTGAATGAGTAGGTGTGTCCAAACCTTTGACTGGTAATGTGTGTGTGTATGCAATAATTAGGTCCCAGAGTTTTTCTGGTCAACTCACATGGTCAGGAAGAGCTCAGGCCCTCCTCTTTAGCTGAGGACCATTCAATCGGGGGCTTGGAGAACACCTACCAGTATGTTTTGCTGTACATCCTCAATCAGTTTTTTTTATCAGGCTATCACCTAAAATAAGATTTACACCTGGGGAAACAAGTGGGAAAGAGTGACTGTTTACTGTGGTGCTGTAGATCATGGTTGTTTGTAAAGACCTCCTCAGCTCCACAAAGACCAGTCTTTAAGGCAGCAGAAATTAAATTGCGGGAGAGGGCTACTGGAGGTGGTACAGTCACTCCACCGCAGTGCAGCCCTGTACAGAGGAATTCTGGGTGCGTGTAAAGACCCCTTGGGATAAATAATTTTTAACTGCCTCCAATTTAATCTGCCAAAAATGATCGCTGTGTTCCCCGAATATGGCTGCCATCTGTTGCATCAAAACGTCTCTGAATTAAACCTCTGGGGAGAAAATTATCACCAGAGGGGCTTGAAAGGGCCTCATCTCCCTTAACCAGACGCAGGTTTTGTCGCAGGGCTTTGCGCCTGCTTGTCGTTAGTTCCGGTAATTATAACCTCTCTTGTTTGCTGCCATTGGCCCGCAGGTTACGCAGAGGCCCAGCTGCGACAGTACCAGCGCCTCACCAAGCAGATCAAACCAGACATGGACAGCTACGAGAGGCAGAGAGAGCAGTGGTGAGTCGGAGCCTCTTCATAAAACTCCTTTCGCTCTCTTCCTTTTCCATTACTGAGTGTTTCAGAGAGACCGTATTTCCCCCATAAAATGAGTAGCATGACATGTTTTATTTCGTCAGACTTAAGCTTTTAGTTATTTTAGATAATTGATGCTGCCATCACAGTTTTCACAGATCAGTGTGCCCCTCTCCTGCTCCTGGGTTAGTTTAGACATAGCCACAGACTCACATAATCATTTAATGTCTTGAAAGCGTCAATGTGAGGCAAACGCTCAAGAGGAACGGTATGGTTATAGTTATGGTGGGCTTTCTTGATCAGCCAAAGATGAGTTCAGTACCCACAGGTTTTTCCCCTTAATGGCTGCCACATGTGGAGCTGTGAAGGGGGCAGTACACTAAAGAATAATGTTCCTAGTCATAGAGATGACTGGTATTCAGTTTGGAGAGATGGATGGCGTTGAGGAGAATCATTATAATGCCTATTATGTTAACTGACTCTCCTGTTCTGTCTCACAGCGGTGAGGACTTCCACCCCACATCCAACAGTCTGATCCATGGGACCCACGTCCCATCCAAGGAGGGCATCGACCGCATGGTGGAGGATGTGGAGAAACAGTAAGCGTAACAGAGACTGAGAGATCCTATCCCCGTCTGTCCTCCCATTCAACGCACTGGAGTCCAAAACAAGGTCTATTCGTGGAATGAGTGAGAGCCCTTCGTGAATGGGACAGGCAGACCTTTGCGTGCATGAAACCTGCGGCATATATAATACCTACTGAATGAGCCCCAGTGTTAAGAGCCTGATGGGGCTGGCTGATCAGGCTCTTACGGTATCACCCGCTGAGGAGGTGCTGGAAAACTCTTGTCTTTCTATCTTAGTGGTAGACTGGGAGTGTGGCCTAGTTAATGAGCTCTCATCTCTGATTCTCAGCCCTTAGATTACCACAGCTTCTGTTGCATCTGCATGAATGGTGTTAAGTTGGCCAGACAGGCTGTCAGAAGAATGCATTTGCCCAATTCACTAATGCATTGCATGCCTTTTGAAAGAATGGCCATGGAATAGACCAGTCAAGCTGCACACTAGACCTTCCGTACCAGCTAAGGTCACAGGGGTTAAGGTTCTCCATCACTGCAATGGATTTCTGTTGTGGGTTCTGGAGAGCTCATGGATTTGGAGATAGTTGTTTAAAATAACTAATTGACTGACATCGGTTCAACTATATGCTCGATGTGCAGTTTCTGTAGAGATAAATCAAATCAAGCCTGTACTGTGCAATGTAGTAGGGAGTTATAGTTTCCAACAGGCCAATATTCTACATAGTTTAGTGCAGAAAACATGGTAATTAACTACAATGACCATAATTCATTGCATGCCCGCTTAAACTGGTCTGGTCTGTGAGGCGCAGACAAGGAGACTGAGAGAATGCATGATCTAAGTGATTGATAGTTGGTATTCAGCAGTCATAAAAGTATGCCTTATTTACTTTGAAGAACTACTAAAATTGTGATTTTGTCAGACAGCAGCTCTATAGAGATGAGATGATGACTTGGAATGAAATAATAAAGTCATGTGAATAAATTATGGTTAACAAGTGATAAGCATTAATGGGCAGTCACTACCATCATGGGACTTTTATTGTTTTATTCTGTGCTACAGCATTCAACCCACCTAAAGCATACTGCATTTAATGTATAAAAAAATTGGAAATAAAAAACCATGATTATTTTTTTAATAATCAAACTGAACCTACCTCAAAAAGCACTAATCGCTCAGCACTAGAGATGACATAGCCTAATACAGAAGCATGTCTGTTCTACGAAATATGTGCACTGAACTGACATGCATGATTGTTGCAGACACTCTGATGAAGGGAGTAGTCCCTAACAATATTCTATAATGCACACCACCACTGCGCTCAACTCAAACAGTAGTGTGTAGCCTACTGTAGCTGCTTCAAAGGCTATACTTTATCACTCAGGATGCAACTTTCCATTGCTACTATTTTTGCCATGTAATGATATTAAAAACGAAATCAGACAACCCCATATTAGAATAGTTTACCTATTTACCTAGTCGGCTTGTTGATGTGTGTTCTATGCGAGATAAATATTCATTTCGAGGCGCATTCAAGTTGCGAGAGATGTATAGAGACGGAAATGTATTTTGACAAGCAGTCAATGCACAACAATTCTTAATGCAATCGCGGGAAAACACTTTTGAAAGCAGTTTTGGCTTTTGTTAAAAACGAGGGGGTCCCAGTTTTCCATTGCTACCACGTTTTTTTCTTTACTCCTTCAATAGACGGGTTGGTTGTTTAGCAACAAAACCGACGCGTGCACAACTATGGGGCAAAACAGACAGGGTTGGTTTAGATTGTTGACAACATATTTATTGAAAACATAAATACATTTGCACAATGAGCACTTTTTGTCTCCCAACTACATTGTTACAGTTGTTGGTTAGCTTGTGAATTTTTACCATATTAGCATAGACATGACATCAGTCAAAACACATCAAAACATTACATGGTATCAAGAACAAGATAAAACTAGCTGAAACGAGCCACCTACGATTCCCAACATAGCTAGCAACAATGACAAGAAGCTGCCATCCAGAATCAAAACACAGGCCTTCTGCCCCATTGAAGCGTGCGTTGTCATCTAACATGTCTATTGCACGAGTGGCATCGATTTATAAATGAGTTTCAAGTATGGTTTAGGCGCAGCTGTGCAACAACAGAGCTCTTAAAGGGACAATGGCATCTTATAAGTGCAATGACATATTTTGTAATAGAATAAATAAATAAAATCGAATAATTATTATTTATTTGTCATCAAATAATTATTCATAATTATAACAATCAGGATGTTGTGTCCAATGGGGTAACTGCAGATGGACAACCCCCATGCTTCAGCCTATGTCAATTTTATAGCCACTATGCTGCATCAGTCAGGATACAGGTGATGATGCTTATGGGCTATATGCATGGTCCAATATGTTAACATAATTTTTCCAATGTGTTATTGGGCTCATTTCTGGAGGTGGAAATTATATTTTAGATGGTGTCATTTTATTTTATTTCATTTTGGAGTAGAATGTCCTTTTAAGAAATCACCAGAACTGAGCTTCTCAGTCCTTCTACATAAAAATTATCCTGGGGAGGACCACGGGCCACCTAAGCAAGGAGACTGGAACTGGTCGAAGTCATACTGTTTAATACATGTACAAAATTATCCTCTTTCCCTAAAAGCATGATGGTCATGACTTTCTTACATGAAAGGGGAGGTTAACTTGGCCCCAGACAGTCGATCTGAAATCGACTTAAGTTTTGTTTGTTCTTGCTTTAACCCCTGAGGTCAAGTCCTCATGTCCCACACACCAGACCAGCATATTCCTTGCCCTAGTGTCCCTGGGTTACATTAGCCCTTACTCATTCTCTCCTCTCTCTTCATCCAGCTATATTTGGGAGGCCTTGTGTTAGTGATGGTCCTGTGAGAGATCAGACGTGGCAGAAGCTGCCAGGGCATGATGCACATCTCTGTTTAGAAGACACTATGTAAAGGCTGTGAGTTAGCAGATTGACTCTGTATGTGCCTGTGTGTTCGAGTAGAAGGTTTCATTGGTGCTTTGGCATATGATCGTTTAGGGATCGTTGCTTTTGTGTGATGGTGAGTTGTTCTGGAGAGATTGGATTTTAAGTAACTGAATTAGGTTTTTCTACTATGATTGTTGTCCTTTTGGTTTGTAAGTTGTGTGTGTGGTCCTTTTGGTTTCTTGACACTGATCCTTTGCTGTTCTTCACAGGATCGAGAAGCGGGCCAAATACAGCCGGCGTAGGGCCTACAACGATGACGCAGACATCGACTACATCAACGAGAGGAACGCCAAGTTCAACAAGAAGGCAGAGCGGTTCTATGGCAAATACACAGCCGAGATCAAGCAGAATCTGGAGAGAGGCACAGCAGTCTAACTGGACTGGTCATTCTAATGGACACTTTCATTTCCTCTGCCATGTTGCAACTGAAGCCCATAATTATTCACTATGGTAACAGGACTGGTTATGTACATAAACTCAGTTTCAGTTGGTCCCTATGCTTACGTATCTAGGATGAAGTTTGTATTTTGACGCTGAAATTTCTTTAGAGGCATTTTATATTTAAATGTTTTTCTGTATTGTTACTATAATGCTTTTGATCAGTGGAAATGTTAAACTCTTAAGTGCAACCTGAATGATCTTCTAATGCTATTCCTGCCTTTCTGTCAGTGTTCGTATGTATGACCATGCATTTTCTTTAAATAAAACATCTTAAACTTTTTTGTTATCTAGCAGATTTGTAAGTATTGCCCTTGGTTTGTTGCATGCGGTCTGGGTTGGATGGGGGGGCTTGTCATGAGCGTGAGAATAAAACACTTATTCTTCTTAAGGCTATAGTGTGTTTCAGTTATGCCAGCAGAAGAATGTGTTAGTGCACGAGGAGATAAAAAAAAAAAAAAGCAATTTAATCGTTATCGCCCACATCTCTGTTAAGCCGACTGCCTCCAAGCAGAATGATATGAGCTAGGAGAGGCTTGTGACCTAAGATGAGATCAAAGACCGTAAACAGATTCCCATGCTATCCTCACCCATCCCCCTGGTTAATTTTCTCTCATATTCTGTATCAATGCGCCCTCTATGGGTTAATAGAAAACACGATGTGGGGGTCCTACATACACATTAAATGGAATTGGATCCTTATCCTAATTTGAATCAGACATCTGAGTAATGTTTCATCTGCATTAATGAATGTGTTCTGAATAAGCCTCATGGGGTATATAAATTAGATGGGGAAGTGGGGTTTCAAAGGCTAGCGTGCAAGAAAATAGTGACAAGTTGTTTATGATTTCCTGGTAGATGAGGACGGAGTGTGGGGGGTATACAAATCACATCTTTGATATTTGATTCTACTTTGCAGAGTTGTTGGGACCTTGTTTGGTTCTCAGGTGAGGGTTTGTCTGATCAGCCTGAGGATATTGGCTGAAGATGATATAAAGGAAGGAAACATGAATGATCAGCTTACAGTTTAGATTATATGACGATGAGGATGCTTTGACATTTTGCCTCATGGAGGGACAACTTTGGCAGTTATCTTCTTTAGCGTTCTTAAATGGGCAGCACCATTAATTTATAGATATTTCCTCTCCCTGTTCACTATTGGGCCTATCCACAATCATGTGCCTTATGGGCAGGCATTGACCAACAGGGCTACAGTTTCATGTCTTTCCATCAGAGACCACATGAAATAACTTTTCCCTCAGTACAATGAGAAGAGAATGTGACAGGTTAGCCAAATGGCTGTTGGAAATTCTCTTTGGAGATTAATTAGATGAGAGCTTGTATAAATTGGAAACCTGTTACACAGTGATAGATAACTCAATTGTTAATGAAAATCTAATTCATGTGATTCACCCAAATAGATGCTTGGTATCCCTGGTATTAGGAGAGAAAATTTAACATCAAATAATGTTTGCCTGCGAGGGGTGACTTGTAGCATTTTTCTCAAGCCAAACTGAAAAGGCGTTCTGTGTTCCACACACAATGGAATCCTTTATGCCCTGCTGTAAACACTAGGTTTTTTCTCTCCTAAAGATGTGTCAAGACTCTTCTGTGTTATTGCCAGAATGTTCCTGATTTAGAGACTGCATCTCCCTTGTGGCCAAATCATACAAGCAGAGGAGAGGAAAATACTCTCATGTCATGTAAGAAGACAGGACGGAGAAAATCTGGCCTGAGGTGTGACTGATTACATTACTCCTGCCTGAGCGCTTGCTAGTGATGCAGAAATGAATGCTTATAAAAGTAATGATATAAGAAAATCATTGTGTGTGATGAAACCTCTAGACACACAAGGATGACAAGGCAGATCTGCTTTTCCTCCTCCCCATCTGATGAAATAAAACATTATTGTGATCTGTTTAAGACAATTCTCAATGGCATTGATACTGACATCAAAGATGTGGTGAATGTGATCATACTTGCATTTCATAGAGACATGAAGACTGTTGCTAAGGATGTACTGTATTCAACAGTGTGGGATATTTGATTGTGTGGCATGACATGGGAATATCAGATTTAAACCTGGGATTGTGGTTTAATTTATTACTCTCGCATCGATTGATAAACATTTGAAATCACAGTTGTTGGTAAATGAATAAGTTAATTTTACACATACGCCAAGATCTTGTCATAATAATAGGCTTCCTGAGTCTCAGGTAAGATGCATCTGAAGGGAAGTATCTGACTGCTAGCCACTTTCACAAGCCATAATGACACTTTGGGTTAGATCAGGTAACTCAGGAGAGAACATGTTCAAAAAAGCACAGACATTTGGCACACATCTGAGTTCTCTACTTGAACAAAGAGTTTTCAGCTCACTTGCCACTTGCCAAAACCACCTTCACAAACACTGTGCTTAAGTATGGCTGTGACTTCTGGATGATGTATGTCAAGTTTATTACACTATGAAATCTGAGCCTAAGTAAATCATTAATTAAAACCACTAAACATGAGGTGGCCATGTTGCTCGACTGCTGAGGGTATGCAGGTAGAAGATATGACAAGCTAAGCTATGCAGTTCTTTTTTTTTTTTTACAGGGGGTCTAATTCAGACCTCAAATCACTAACATAGCCATTGTCCCCCAATCAATTACTTAAATTAGCTTGGCTTTAAAGGGGCAATCAGCAATTGCTACATCAATTTTTTTAAAACTTATAAATGAATGACATGTACCCATTGACTCTTGAAGAATATAACTTATAAATGCCTCATGAGCTTAGTTCAACTGTCGTACCCCATCAGAACTCAAAATATAAGCTTGTTTTACTCCAATGTTTGTAAACAAAGTAAATGTAAACAAATACTGTACAGCCTAAAAATATGTTTAAAACTATCATTTTGATACCATGGATGGTCAGTCCTTGCAGCCATTGCTCGGTCTATTAATTTGAGAGTGGTACATTTCTCCAGCCCCGTCCCTCAGCTTTTTACCGAAACAAGGGTGGGGATGCGCTTTGTTATCGTTTCTACTGCTAATTGTAGCTTAACCACCAAAAGCAAGTCCATCACTAAACTAGTTGTCAGTGTCACTCATCTCTTGAAAAACCATTCCACCGCTAAACTAGCTTTGTCAGTGTCACACATTTCTTAAAGTGTTTAGGAATCACAAGTTCTGCAGCACACTTCAGTGGTGCAACCATGACACTATGTGGTCAACATTTGCAGTACAGCCTACTAATATAACAGCCGCAGCACATCAAGACACTGTAGGAAACCTTGATTTGATTCTGCTATACTTTAAAATGGTTTCATATTGCAGTATGCACACATCCAGTGCCATTTCTAGGCATAAGCCACTTAGGGCCCCCAACCCTAAGGAAGTCAGACAGGGTCTCAACCAATGATTTATATAAACACTAGATGACTGACAGGTGGCGCTGTTTTGAAGTCACTGCACCTCCTTCTTGGCACTACCCCACCATTGTAAAAACAATTTTGGAAGCTATAGAAATGCATTTATTAAGGCCTATATTTCTTTTTGCCACGTTTATTCTATTAGACACCTTAATGCACGAGTCAAACTCATTCCACTGTACTTGATTAATTAAGGTCACTAATTAGTAAAGAACTCCCCTCACATGGTTGTCTAGGTCTTAATTGAAAGGAAAAACCAAAAGCCCACAGACACTATACTCCATGGAATGAGTTTGACACCCCTGCCTTAATGCATACTTTAAAATTATATTATGTGACCTAAACATACAAATAAAAAATGAACGAATATTCAAAAAAAGTATAATAAAAGTATAATTATTTTAAATTACTAATGTTATCATCTCTACTACAACAACAAAAATACTTAAATGTACAGTAAATACAATTAAATGAAATACAGTAGAATTCCATTTATTCCTGTGTGGAGGACTGCTTTTCTGAATGCCAATATGGCCGACCAGTGGCTTCAAAGCCTCTCATTGGCCAATAAATCGCATCAGCAATCCACGGTTTATATACATCATTGGTCTCACCTTACTGTTAGTTAGGATAGTAGAATACACAACGTGCAATTTCGAAATTTGGTAGTGCATCAGCAATTTGCTCTTGTTATTTCAGTCACTGACAGACTCTCAATTACCCCATGTCAGCTAACATTTTATTGACTGCTAGGTTAGTCTAGCCAGCTACCTAAACCTTGCAGTAATCATGGCCAAATTCCTGACCGGGCACATGCCCAGTGGGCCTGACCTCCAGGGGGCCCCCATTGATTTTGTTATTCACTCACTCAGATATATGTAGCTCAGTTGGTAGAGCTTGGCACTTGCAATGCCAGGGTTGTGGGTTCGATTCCCACGGAGGGCCAGTATGAAAAAATATATATACAGTGGGGAGAACAAGTATTTGATACACTGCCGATTTTGCAGGTTTTCCTACTTACAAAGCATGTAGAGGTCTGTAATTTTTATCATAGGTACACTTCAACTGTGAGAGACGGAATCTAAAACAAAAATCCAGAAAATCACATTGTATGATTTTTAAGTAATTAATTTGCATTTTATTGCATGACATAAGTATTTGATCACCTACCAACCAGTAAGAATTCCGGCTCCCACAGACGTGTTAGTTTTTCTTTAAGAAGCCCTCCTGTTCTCCACTCATTACCTGTATTAACTGCACCTGTTTGAACTCGTTACCTGTATAAAAGACACCTGTCCACACACTCAATCAAACAGACTCCAACCTCTCCACAATGGCCAAGACCAGAGAGATGTGTAAGGACATCAGGGATAAAATTGTAGACCTGCACAAGGCTAGGATGGGCTACAGGACAATAGGCAAGCAGCTTGGTGAGAAGGCAACAACTGTTGGCGCAATTATTAGAAAATGGAAGAAGTTCAAGATGACGGTCAATCACCCTCGGTCTGGGGCTCCATGCAAGATCTCACCTCGTGGGGCATCAATGATCATGAGGAAGGTGAGGGATCAGCCCAGAACTACACGGCAGGACCTGGTCAATGACCTGAAGAGAGCTGGGACCATAGTCTCAAAGAAAACCATTAGTAACACACTACGCCGTCATGGATTAAAATCCTGCAGCGCACGCAAGGTCCCCCTGCTCAAGCCAGCGCATGTCCAGGCCCGTCTGAAGTTTGCCAATGACCATCTGGATGATCCAGAGGAGGAATGGGAGAAGGTCATGTGGTCTGATGAGACAAAAATAGAGCTTTTTGGTCTAAACTCCACTCGCCGTGTTTGGAGGAAGAAGAAGGATGAGTGCAACCCCAAGAACACCATCCCAACCGTGAAGCATGGAGGTGGAAACATCATTCTTTGGGGATGCTTTTCTGCAAAGGGGACAGGACGACTGCACCGTATTGAGGGGAGGATGGATGGGGCCGTGTATCGCGAGATCTTGGCCAACAACCTCCTTCCCTCAGTAAGAGCATTGAAGATGGGTCGTGGCTGGGTCTTCCAGCATGACAAAGACCCGAAACACACAGCCAGGGCAACTAAGGAGTGGCTCCGTAAGAAGCATCTTAAGGTCCTGGAGTGGCCTAGCCAGTCTCCAGACCTGAACCCAATAGAAAATATTTGGAGGGAGCTGAAAGTCTGTATTGCCCAGCAACAGCCCCGAAACCTGAAGGACCTGGAGGTCAAAATCCCTGCTGCAGGGTGTGCAAACCTGGTCAAGACCAACAGGAAACATATGATCTCTATAATTGCAAACAAAGGTTTCTGTACCAAATATTAAGTTCTGCTTTTCTGATGTATCAAATACTTATGTCATGCAATAAAATGCAAATTAATTACTTAAAAATCATACAATGTGATTTTCTGGATTTTTGTTTTAGATTCAGTCTCTCACAGTTGAAGTGTACCTATGATAAAAATTACAGACCTCTACATGCTTTGTAAGTAGGAAAACCTGCAAAATCGGTAGTGTTTCAAATACTTGTTCTCCCCACTGAATAATGTATGCACTCACTAACTGTAAGTCGCTCAGGATAAGAGCGTCTGCTAAATGACTAAAATGTAAATATGTCATGGCAAAATGTGTAGAACTGCAGGAAATTAGCTTTAAAGAGCGACTGAACGCACCAAATCTGTTTCTCTGTTGCGCATTATGAAAAACGAGATTTCAGTCTTGAGGGTGTGGTTCGATGTGGCAGTTACTGATGTTTGTCCCCCATGATACACTATAGGAACAAAGCCAGTGTCGCTTCCTCCGATCTGTGTGTGTTCTGAGGTAGTATTGGATAGAGCGCAGTCACCGCAGCTGTGTATCCAGTGTTAGTGGGCAAGTGAGAATTGTCCAAATCAAAACCAAACCATCAAGTCATGACGAACTCAATTACAAAACTGTTTTGGACCACTGACTTTGACCAAAATGATGATACTTACACTTTGTAGTCAATTTTGACACTAGAATAAATGTTTGACTAATATCGATGCCACATAAGCAATTTTCTATCAAATAAATTATTTGCCTTCAGTTGAGCTTTAAAACTGCTAAAAGTTCACCATCCCATTGCAAAATGTGTAGAACTGCAGGGAATTATCTTTAAAACTTCCAAGTTCTCTCCAGCAAAATGAGTTGAATCGCATTAAATACATTTTAAAACTGCAAAATGCTCTCTACCCCATGGGAAAATGTGCTTCAGAGCTGCAAATCTCTCTCCACCGCCAAGAAAGGGACCACTAAAATGTTTTGCCCGTGGGACTAACGTCACAACATTTTAAAGTAATTCCCATACTAGTAATGACTGAGGGGACACAGTAAAGTCAATGAACAAGGAATTTAATTTCAAGTAAGTGTCTTTATTGACTCCCTAATCAGCATTAGACACCACAAAAAAAGTAACCCCACCTGAAATATTCTGTTCTAACCACTTAATTCACTTTAAATCTGAAATAAATAATCTACCATAAAATCAGATCGCCCAAACCCCCCTGTACAAATTATATACAGTATTTACATTGTCCATGCACTCTGACACATTAGCGAGATGTGGAGAGTTAATGTTTGCACGAAGTGCGAGAAAAGGAGGATTGGACCGTTTTTCTGACTGGGACCCAGTGACCAAACAGGTTCCTGCTCGTTGTGTAGTTCTCCACTCTGGGTGTTACCTTTGATGTGGTGGAAGCAACAATGGCTGTGGGCTTGGCCACTGAATTCTGTGTGAACAAAATAAAGAGAATCACATTAGAATCCAATACAATTTAAGTGTGGTGCCCAATACGTCAAGGAAAATTCGAGGCGTTTTTAAATACATGTTTTCTGCTAAACTAAATACTTGCATCACTTACATGAATACTGAATGAGATCATCTTTTTCTTGGGAGACATATTAGGGGTTGGTGCATCCTCCTCAGGCTCTATGTCACTGCTCTGCTGCAAAGAGTAAACAAATATTATTTTAGGTTTAGTAAAAATCAGATCAGCTGTTTTTTGGTCTCACTGTCAACACACAACAATCAATACAGTCTCCCAGATGAGCAACTGCGCACTTGGTCTATAGCTTCAACAAACTGCAGTTCCCATGCACCCCTCATTGATGTCAAAGCTATGCATATGTTCATTACATGATTTTCACAAGGGTAGCTTTAAGCATAAACAAAAAACTATAGGAAGAAAAATCCCTTGTCTGAGTGGCATGATGATGATGCAGTTTTCCAAACCCCATCCAGAACACCACTTGTATACCACCAACTTATCTTTGGCATACGGACGGAGGGAGGTGGCCATCTGTTTAAAGTTCTCGTCAGGAATAGTCACTATAACGCAGTCCAAACGCCTGTGCTTCTTCAGAGAGTGGGAGGGAGACTCTGCTAAATAACAATGTTCTCATTTCAACTGTAAGCAAACACACATATTCAGAGTTCTAAAAATGTATTTGTATCAACGTGGAGTATTGTCAGTATAACAGTATGTTTTAATTGTGAATTGTATCTATCCATCTACGTGAGAGAAAGTAGCATAGGTGATGAATTGGGACATTACAAACTGAATTGGTAAGCCATGAAGTCAGTGAGATAATTTAAGTGTACCATTGCTGGACAAAACAATCCATCCCTGCTACTGGACTTGTATTGGCATTGTGAGCATGACAAGATTCATCAGAACCTTTTCACGCAAACGCAATGACATCACCCAAGTCACATGACTGCCCTCTTATTCTCCTAATCCAAGGGGCCATGGAGTGAAGACCACTGTCATGTGATCTACAAAAACAGGAATAAATACAAACAAACAGAGCATGTGTGTTCTCTGACGGGTGCAAGGTTAACAGACAAGCAGTTTCACAGAAGACAGAATCAGAAGACCTGAAGTTCAGACTAAATGGGAGGGAAAGACCTCCAAACTGTGGTTTAAAATGGCCTAGGTAGTGCGGTTATAATGTCAACAGCTGAACTATGAGCAATTTCAATTGCTAGGCTTCTTCTGTGTGTGTCATGTTCACAGACGGTATGTTCAACATGATCAAATCTCCCTGAACACCCACCTGTGATAGACTCTTTTGAGGGAGTGGCTCTGGTCTCACCCGTTCCTCTGGTTTTGGTGTGGCTGGTCTGGTTTTCACTTGCTGCTCCTCCAGGACGGGCTTCACACTCTCAGAAAGGTCCAGCTGCTCCACCCCCAGTGCCTGGGTGGCATTGGCTTTCGCAGTCCTGAGGAGTTCCCCCTTTTCTGAGGAAAGAATACAGGACATATTTACATTAACACAAAGAGGTCTAATGCTTTTAAATCCATTAACTCCTAGCAAAATGAAAAGTATAGATATAAATATAAGCCTTACCCTCTATGCTGAGGCTGACAACTGAGCGTCCTGAAGATCTGGATCTGGAGCGGCTCGTGTAGGTCTTGTGGCTTCTGTAGGGTGATCCAGAAAACCTGCACTTGTACCTGCCCACAGAAACCCTCCTCCGGCTGGCTGACCTGGAGCGGGACCTGTGGCTCAGACGGTGTGACCTGTCTGGGGAAGAAGAGGGGCTGTAGGAGCGAGAGTGGGCCCTGTAACAGCGTGGTGGTGAGCAGTGGCGCCTATGTCCGTGGGCCTGTCGGTGTTGACGGCAGCAACGTGAGCTGGAGGAGGCTCTGTGGCAGCGCGGGTGTGATCGGGACCTGGGACGGGTCCGAGGGCTGCCGTTGGAGGAGTGGGATGATCTGGACCTGTGACGTCCCCTACAAGCATCATTTCGTTTAACTTGTCGTCTAGAGCCAGAGGAATGGCTACTGTTATGACTACTTCTAGAGGGGTAACGAGAACGGGGAGGGGAAGAGGGAGAGCTGGATTGGGCATCCTGGTCAAAGATCAAGCTTATCCCTTCATTCAGAGGGGCCTGGGCCATTTCAGCATGTGAATCCTTCCCTTCGGTCTTCTTGGTGTGCATCTATAATAAAAACATACAATAAAAGTAAATAACTACCTATTTTGGAAGGAGTTGGCCTATTAAACAGAAACAAAATGGTGTAAAATTGTTAGATATCTAGTTACGATAAACATGCGTCTTGTGTAACTTGTCTCAATGTTTTTAAATAGGGTCAGCCTGAAATGGTATAATTATGACTTGATACACCTCGTACAAAAATTGCGTAACTATACTGACAACTGTTGCGAGTAGGCCTAGCTAGTCCGTCACGGTGGAAAATTCCAGATAGGAAGCACTAACGTTAGCTATAGCTACCACTGTGTCTTGCTACTAAACTAGCAGTGCTTCGAACAAGAATTAGCTAGCTAGTAGTTAACTAGACGTTGTTGTAAACTTCCTATGATGACAATTACTGAATATGGTCTTTACAGTATTGTATAGTCTAATTGTAGCTTAACCGCATTACTTACTGTATAATGCTAGCTAACGTACGTCAGTCGACTCGGCCGCGGCGCTAGGAATCCGATTCTGCTAGTAAACTAGATAATGTAATGAAATTCAATAAATTTCGAGATTAAATGTAAATGTTTCAATATAATATTCGGAGAGAAACCTTGCAAAATATTAAACTTAGATGAAAACGTCGGGTTTTAAACTAGCTAGTTTAGTATCAACTGCTGAAATAAATCTGCTGCTAGCCACACAAAATGCCAAGAGCCTACGTCATCGAGTGTCGCTGTGGAAAATTCCAACCCCTTCCCCTTCAAAACATTCCGCTTGTTCACGAGGTTCAGTTTGCTACAGACACTGCGCATATTCTATGTTCTTTCCACAGGACAGCGAGCTGGACAGTTTATTATTAAATCAGAAAGTCGTTCCCAGTGCTATGTGGTTTACAACCAAAGTGTATCTTCGATACACCGGAGTTGCATTAAAACATAGACATTGTTTGGGCTGAGTTTACTGGCAAGCAAACCATACAAGCAGTATGACTCAGTAGACTGTCCCTTGAGCAAGGCACTTAACCCTAATTGCTCCTATAAGTCGCTCTGGATAAGAGCGTCTGCTAAATGACTAAAATGAAATGTAAATGTACTAAACACAACGCGAGAAAATAATATATCGCGAGAGAACAGCACAATATGTAACTTCATCGTAAACGAACTATATTTATGCTGCGTTTACATACTAGTCGGAACTAGGAAATTCGGAAATGTCCGACTTGCTAACTGGTTGTAGTTATAGGCGTGCCGCGTTCAACCACTTAACAAATCGGACATTTCCGTGTTCTGTAGTTCCGAGACGAAACAGATTCACGGAAATTAGGGGAAGCGGATTATGAATTGGAATCTGAATACAATGGCGGTAGAGTCACTCACCTCCTTCCGGAGACACTTGAAACCCCACCTCTTTAAGGAATACCTGGGATAGGATAAAGTAATCCTTCTACCCCCCCTTACCCCACCCCCAGAATTTTTTTTTTATTGTAAAGTGGTTATCCCACTGGCTATAAGGTGAATGCACCAATTTGTAAGTCGCTCTGGATAAGAGCGTCTGCTAAATGACGTAAATGTAAATTAATCAAGGAGAATTGGAGTATTGTTCAAAAGAATGGAAAACGGAGCAAAGTAGGGTACAGTGATGATAATGACCCTTCGTATCTTGTAGGAGTACGGTTTGTTAATAAGGAGCAGCTGAGCAGAGTACCAATCTTGAAGAAAAAACCATTTGAGTTATCCAAACTGGTGGAGAGTGTTGGATTGATTTTTTTTTGTGATTCCGCGGATCAGAAGGAACGTGCGTTGTGTCTTAATCGAGTTGATACGTTTGAAGTGTTGTGTGTGTCGCTTCGGAACAGGGCACCCGTTAAGGGGGTTATATCTGGCGTTTCATGGGAAGTTGATTAGGAAGAGAGGAAAAATATTCCTGGAGTGATTGAAGCACGTTGGATGAATCGAGTGGTGAATAGGGGAAAAGTGAAGAGTTTCTGTTCTTTTGTTTTTTGAAATGGAGCTCTCCCTAATGAAGTGCGGTTAGGGTATATTAACTACAGAGTTAGAGCATTTATCCAAAGAACAATGCAGTTTGAACATTTTAAAGCTTTTTGTCATGTAGAAAGTGTTTGCAGAAGGGAGAAGCCGAGATGTACAAGATGTGGAAAATATCATATTATGTGTTATAAAGGTGAAGAAAATGTGACATGTAATTGCGGTGGGAAACATGAAGCCACGTCTTCTGAATGCCCCACAAGGGTAAAAGATAACAAGGTGGCCAAAGTCAGGGTTGTACAGAGTATTTCATATGCAGAAGCTGTGAAAAGGGTTGAGGGTTTGAATGTTGCACCAGAATAGTCCATGGTAGTGGATAGGCCTGATATTTACACCAAGAGGATCCTGACATTTTAAAGGTTAAAAAGGTGGACTTTGTGGCCTTTATCGCAATGGTGATAAATGGCACTGCCAAGGTGGAGAAAAGATCTAGGAAGATTGAAATCATTGTGATTGCGGCGGAGCGGTTCTTGGGGCTGAAAGATTTCACAGCAAAGGAGTTACATGGAATATTAGCAAAAGCCGTACCACCTTCTCAAGTCCTAGAGCCCGAGAAGGGAGATATGGAGAACTAAAAGAAGGAGGAAGTGGGAGTTTTGTTTGTTTAGGCAATGTACTATTTTTATTACGGTGGATTGTTAGAATCACTATTAAGTATGGATTTTGGTTGTTGTTGTTGGTTTCAAACCGTCCAGTTGGTGGCGGCAATACAACTTTTGGATGTAGTTCGCCATAAAACCCACAGAAGAAGAACGTTCTGTAGTTCGGACTTGCACGGAAACGCTGTTTACACACGGAGGTTATTCGCTAATAAAAAATTAGTTGGGATTTTACTGTATTATTTTGCAATGGAAATTCTAGAGTTGGTGCCTTCAAGCTTCGGATATGTCATATTTACATACTTTTACAGCTGGATCATGTTGACTTATCTCGGTGTTAAGGTTGGAGCTGCCAGAAAGAAATACGATGTGAAGGTAAGTAAATAATGTTACTGTCAAGTGATGATGCAAAAAATTGAATAACTGCGCTGCAGTGCTAGATACGTATATTTTCGCCCAGTAATCCGTCTGGAACATAGCCTTCTGATCCGAGTTTACGTAAACGAATTCCAATCATGCTCTAATTGGGAGCTTCATGCAATGTCAGTCAGTCACTTCTTGCCTTGGCTAGACATGACTAGACTTGAATGGTGCTATGTACTTGGGACTCAAGAAAAACACAAAGTGAACTTGGCCTAGCTAGGGCAGTATAAATACAGGTCACCTGACCTAGGCGGCAGGTAGCTTAGTGGTTAAGAGCGTTGTGCCAGTAACCGAAAGGTCGCTGGTTCTAATCCCCGAGCCGACTAGGTGAAAAATCTGTCGATGTGCCCTTGAGCAAGGCACTTAACCCTAATTGCTCCTGTAAGTCGCCCTGGATAAGAGCGTCTGCTAAATGACTTAAAATGTAAATGATGCATGTGGTATAGCTATATGTTAATTTGTTTCCCCTTATGTCAAATATTAGGAATCTTGTCTTTAAGAACCTGGCCCTAATGCACCACAACTTGATCCTAACGATGATTATGCAGTTGTGGTACACATCTACTATGCTATCCCTAATTGCTGGTACAGAAAGGAGCTTAGAGAAAATATGGTACATCTCACTGTCTTTTTTTCTCCTCCCCTGGGCAGTACCCTACCATGTACAGTGACAAGGAGCAGGTGTTCAACTGCATCCAGAGGGCCCACCAGAACACACTAGAGGTGTACCCTCAGTGGCTTGTGTTCCAGACCATTGCAGCTCTTGTCTATCCAGTACGTATCCACATTAACCAACATTACCAGGTTACATCACTTACACTGCCACACACATTGGTTCTTTTTGCATTTTATGACTGGCTCTTTCACATACACTTTCAGAAACGTGTCTCACATTTTGCATGCTAATGCCTCACAGAGCATCTCTACCTAGTTGAATATCATTATTTTGTCAACTCACACACAGTGCACTATTGACCTTATTCCTGTGTAAATACTGATAGATATTACTGCTTCTAATGGAAGGTTTATCACTACAGTGACATTTTCTGATAATAAGCAGGGGTGAAAGTAGATGTAATTTCTTCCCAGTACGGGACCTCCTATGTGTGCACGTGCTTAATCATCAAATTACACGCAGAATCCCAATTAATTCAATAGGATCTCTGTGGGCCTAGTCATAAAGATTTGGCATTTAACTTTAAAAAAAATATATTACCTTTTATTGTTATGTATTCCCTCCCTGTTCACCCATGACTGCGTGGCCATGCATGTCTCCAACTCAATCATCAAGTTTGCGATGATACAACAGTGGTAGGCCTGATTACCAACAACGATGAGACAACCTACAGGGAGGAGGTGAGGGAACTGGCGGAGTGGTGCCAGGAAAATAAACTCCCTCAACGTCAACAAAACGAAAGGAGCTGATTGTGGACCCCATCCATGTCGACGGGGTCGCAGTCGAGAAGGTGAAAAGCTTCAAGTTCCTCGGCTGACACATCACGGACAACCTGAAATGGTCCATCCACACAGACAGTGTGGTGAAGAAGGTGCAACAGTGCCTCTTCAACCTCAGGAAGCTGAAGACATTTGTCTTGGCCCCTAAGACCCTCACAAATGTCTACAGATGCTCCATTGAGAGCATCCTGTCAGGCTCTATTACTGCCAGGTACGGCAATTGCACCTTCCGCAACCGCAGTGCTCTCCAGAGCGTGGAAGGCCAAGAAGATCATCAAGGACCTCAGCCACCCGAGCCACGGCCTGATCACCCAGCTACCATCTAGAAGGCGGAGACAGTACAGGTGCATCGAAGCTGGGACAGAGAGACTGAAAAACAGCTTCCATCTCCAGGGCATCAGACTGTTAAATAGTCACCACTAGCCGGCCTCGGCCCATTACCCTGCCCTGCACCTTAGAGACTGCTGCCCTATATACATAGTCATTGTACACTGGTCACTTGAATAATGTTTACATACTGTTTTACCCACTTCATATGTATATGCTGTATTCTAGCCATGGCTCATCCTATATAACTACTGCTGTACACACCTTTTCCATTCATATACTGTCCATAATGTCTATACACATAAGTAACCAACGTGGCTGTGGGAGTGGCATACCATGTCCTCTGGATGATAATTGACAGCCCTTTCTGTGTTGCATTGATCTGTCCTCTTTACACACCCAACAACAGCACATACCAATAAGGGCCACATCTCACTGGCGATTCAGCATCTTCTCAATTTGACAGTTTACTGACTATTGCTCTCTGTCCTACTTCCCTCACTCTGTGTTTCCCCTTCTTCTGTTACCCAATCACTCATCCCCCCACCTCTCAGACTTCTGCAACTGTGCTGGGAGCCATCTGGGTCACCAGCAGGTTCTCCTATGCCTGGGGTTACTACACTGGAGGTAAGACAATCTCTTGTAATGAGATTGCACATCATGACATCAACACCTCTCTTTGTTTATTACTTTTGAGACAGTTTCCGAGTCACAGGGCATGAGTGAAAACGGTTGGACTCCCAAGGCACTCCTTCTAGAGTTGATATGCTTTTTTAGCAACTTTACTAAGTATTTCAGCCATATTTGAATGTTATTGTTATTGCAAACAATGGTATACCATTATGAAAAGTACTACAGCTGTATTTTATGAAAATGTAATGCAAAAAGTTTGATTGCTGAAATATCCCCTCATTCTGCAAAATGGTATGATATCATAATTGGAAGAATCACACTCTTAATCAGCATTTTATAAACCGCTTTAAACTCGAATAAGTCTCTTTCCTCCTCAGATCCAGCCAAGAGAATGAAGGGTGCCTATGGGTACATTGGGTATTTTGGAGTCATCATTCTCTCCATCTCAGTGGCTTTGCAGCTGCTTAGAATCTTGTAATTGCCTGAAATATTTTGAGCCAGCTGGTTTCCATTCCATATTCACCCTTTCTACTAAGTGTATCTCTTACAGTGGCTTGTGCCTGTTATTCAAACAGCTACGATATCATGTAGCTGAACAATATGATATTCTTTTCAATTATGATATTCTTTAATTGCTGTGATCTTACCAATGTGAAAACAACTATAGGCCTATGTGTTACTGCAATACAATTTAGTTTTGTTAGTTGATACTGTAAGGACCATTGATTGTGATTTGTCTTTTTTATACGATTATCAGGCATTTGTTTTAACCTTCCATTCCCATGTACTGTCAACATGATGTTAATAAAGATGAATGTAAACATTGTCAGAAAAGTTATTTATATCATATTCAAGCATGCTATATATTCTGACGCTCTAGTCATGATATACAGTACCAGTAATCGTTTTAGAACACCTACTCATTCAAGGGTTTTTCTTTATTTTTACTATTTTCCAAATTGTAGAATAATAGTGAAGACATCAAAACTATGAAATAACACATATGGAATCATGTAGTAACCAAACAAGTGTTAAACAAATCAAAATATGTTATATTTGAGATTCTTCAAATAGCCACCCTTTGCCTTGATGACAGCTTTGCACACGCTTGGCATTCTTGAATGAGTAGGTGTGTCCCAAACTTTTGACTGGGACTGTATATTTTTCCAAAGGGGGTAGAGGAATAAAGAAGAATAGAAGACAAGTCATATGACACTTGTAATCTCTCATGTGACTGTCTCATGTAAATTGGGACAAATGCACATCAAACTTCTCAAACTAGGTCATGAAACAATCCTCCAACCAATGGTTTCCCACCTACTATGCCAGTGAGATGCAGACAGTGAATGGGTACAGTAGTTTACACTGTATGACCACTGGCCCATAGTGATTCTCCTGACTTCACACAGCTCCATAAATTCTCTTTTCAAAATGCTATTATTATAAAATATTGCAATTAAAACGTACGTATTATTTAAGTATGGTATTTAATCTAGTGAATTGATGCACATGGAACAGTCTATGGTGAGTACTGTACTGTGCCGATCTACACAAATGCGGAACTGATGCTGCCATTGGCGCCTCCAACATCAAAGAGGCGTTGAACTGAGCAGGCGCGTGGCTCAGCTCTCTCAGAAGCAAAGTAGGCTAATAAACGGCGTCTAGGGGGTCCATAACGAACACCAAAAAGAAAAGGTAATTAACTCTGAATATTAGGTGACAGCATCATTTCTAATGTTTGTTTGTTATTGCCGTTGAGATATTGTTGCATTTTGAGCTACTGGGTCGTGCGGTGCGTCCAACACGAAGGATCCTTCAAGGAAAGGCTGGTGCTCCCAAATGCTTTGAACAATGGACTGCGATCAAACTCACACATGGGGATGGCGCAGTATCGATTTATTTGAAACAATAATTAGCTATCGATATATATACACGTAAGTTATCATAATCAGTGTGATTCCTGACAAATACGTTTGTTCGGGTGGTTGTTGATTCTTTTGTTTGAGGGCTTATGCGCTTGAGAGCATCACCATTGTTCTTCGTTAACTCAGATCGAACTGACTTAACACATACGGATAGGGGTAAAAAGCATGTATGGGGTGTTTAAATAGGTGAATCCTTAGCACTGAAAGCGCAGGTACACTGAGGCGGGATCCTTGGGACGTCTCTACCTAAACCCTAACCTCAGAGTTGGGACGTCCCGAGGAATCCAAATACCAAGGACCGATAGCAGACACTTGCCAATTTAACAATCGTTTCCTCTGTCGCAGTTCAAAGCTGTTGGATACTTGTTGTAAATACAGCTAGACTACATGTCCCATGAAACTATGCGGTATACTACTCTGCTTGTAGTCCTAAAACCCGGAAACGAGTTGTCTCTGGTTCGTTCAGCCATCCATGAGAAAAATGAATGGCGAAAGAATAGGGTTTAGTAATAAACGCCGAAAATAAGGTCCGAGGTTAACACAGGCTTAGGATATCTTATACGTTTTGTTATCTGAGATAACAGCAGTAAGTTAACATGTCCTTTATGAATTATGAAGCCTTTATATGCTTTTATAAAGTACATACATTCTTCAAAATACACACAAAGTGACGTTAGCTGATGAATATTATCTCGTAGAACAAAACGTATAAGATCTCCTAAACCTGTGTTTACCGCAGACCTTATTTTGGGCGTTTATCCAAAAACGCCATTCATTTTCTCCATAGGCTTGGTCCGACGAACCATGGCGGAGTTGGTGCCTACAAAAAGACGCCATTACTATTTCTCTATTATAGGTCTTCAAGGGTGCAACAGACCCGGAATTCCGAGAAACGACCCGGGAGCGGGTCTGAGTCCTACATTTAGATTTTTGTCTCGGATCTGAGTCGGGTCTGATATAATTAGCACTGGTCTAGGTAAAATGGATTTACCGACTGGACCCGATTTGGATCCTTCCTCTGTTAATTTAATTTGTGGAGGTGATGAGAACTGAGCAAGCTTGCTATCTGTGTCAGCCAATTGAAACTCAATAAAAGTAAAACTTAAGTCCAGCTGAAACTGGTTCCTGCCACTCACTTTACGTGGCCTGCTGGTGAAGAGAGAGGGGGAGCAAGTGAAAGGAGCCTTGGCCTAGGCTACTGTTGATTGCGAATATGGAGGCATTGAAGTAAAATACAAGTTAGAGGATAAAGAGTATAGTGAAAAGGGGACAAGTTTTTATATTGTAGTGGACAAAGATGAGGAGAACGTCTGTGTGGCCAAATGTACTGTGTGCAACTCGCTATTCAGGTTTGATGCAATGTTCTAACTTTTATTTATATTCATTATTTATTATTATTATTATTATTATAATAGTATGCCATTATTATTTTAGGCCTATTTACACACCTAAACCAGTTATTTAAATATGCAAAAATAGTTGTTTCATTTTGTTTTGACATTTTCGCTGGCTAAATTAAGTTCGAACTGTCTTTTTTAATTTAATTTAAAGATAAGTTAAAAGTAGGCCTGTTGTGAAATTAATATAATTATCCTATTTCTGTCATTTGTTGGGTAGGCATACAGTTGGAACTTGCCTTCTTTGGTAATTGATGCAATTATAGGCCTAGCCTGTTCAAAACGTTTGAAGGTTTAAACCAGTTCTTTAAAATATGCAACAAGTGTTTTGTTTGTTTCTGTTGAGCCATTTTCTTTGGCCAAATTAAGTTCCAACTGTAATGTTTTTGCCGCAATATAATATAATTACAGGTAGGCCTACTATAGGGTTACTTGCACTCAAACAATAAAAAGGAAAAAGCAAAGAGGGCGAGATGCAAAATTTAATTTAATGCCGCAATATAATAACCTGTGTATTTTCCCTATAATCAATGGCTTTACTTACTTTTGATATTACCCTAATAAAGCTAAGAAACTTTTGTGACGGTGTGGTATGGATATTATTAGGTTTAGCTAGGCTACTGCAGGCCTATGAAGGCAGTGCACACTGGTGCTCCAACTGACTCTGACAGTTGAACTTGAGGTGAGGAAGAATGTTTTAGGCCTACCAGAGTTACTCCTTTAATCTAACAATATAATGCTTATCTTTATAAAACATTATGATGGAACATTTACGAATTAGCCTCCTAATGTACGCCTATATCTGTATAGCAGTAGTAGCCTATCTGACAAGGATAAAGAATGCATGTTGGTGTCGGGAACATGGCGCTGCCATGCCTTATCTTTCTCTATGGCTAGGCCTAAGCTTCTCTTCCTTTTATATTTATATTTTAAATATTAGTATCATACAGTGGATGCCTAGGCCGATAGGCCTGTATGCATGCAATGCCCGGATGCATTTAGCGCTCAAATCTCGGAGAGCTGAACCGTAAGGTAGACCATTTTTGTTTTAGGAAAGTAAAAACCAATAAAACAATAGGCTATAAAGTTTTGAATTTGCTACACATCGAAACGTCACAAATAGTTTTTTGTAATGTGTTATTGGCAGTTTAAGGACATGTTATTGATAGTGCCGTCTGAGGTTTCCTTCTACTCTCGGATCTGAACTGGTCTTCGGATCCGAACCGGCACGGGTCTGTTTGGGACTGTTTTTCCACAGGCCTTTTTGGATCGGGTCTGACTGTCCTCAGGTCCATTGGGAAAAGGTCTCCGTTTATTTTTTATTCATATCTGGTCGGGTGGGAAAGCCACGAATAGATTTCGGAATGGGTCCAACGTGTGATCCTTTTAGTTGATTTATCCTCTCTGAAACCTTTTCATTATTTTATTGGGATTTTATTTGTTTTGAAGACCTTTACTCTGTATGCATAGAGTGGGTGCCTGGCATCTGTCATCTCACAAACTAGTATCTGTGCAACATTTTAGCAGTAGCTTGATCAGAGTTTAGGATATTTTGTTGGGTTTGATTGAAAAAGTTAATTTATTCATTGTGCATGCATTATACATGAACTTTAATTAGCTACCTAGCTGTAATAGTCAACTCAATTCCTGCATGTGTCTTTTACTCTTTAACCCAGCTCCTTTTCCCTTCACTTTTCAGCTCAGAACCATGTCAGGGTTTTTGGAAAGCATCCGGTGCGGAGACTGCGAGTGCAATGTGGACTGGGGAGAGAGGCGAAACACTATTGCATCTATAGGTGCTGGAGTCCTGGTAGGTTCTACTCTACTATAACATTTGCCAACTTTAGATCACTGAAAGTGAAAAAGGTGGCGGCATATTGCCTAAATCTTAATCCATATTCTTGCAGTTTTTCACTGGTTGGTGGATAATCATTGATGCAGCTGTTAAATATCCAGATGAGGCGACCTTCCATCACGCCTATCACACTTGTGGAGTCATCGCTACTGTGGCTTTTCTCATGTAAGTCATGCTGTGTTGTGAATGTGTCTACCAGGGTTGGGGTCAGTCCCATTTTAATACAGGAAATCAGTCTGTTCAAATCTTCCTTTTGCCTTTGGTACCCATCTAGGATCAATGCTGTCTCGAATGGCCAGGTGAGAGGGGACAGCTACAGTGAAGGTTGCATTGGGCAGACAGGTATGTGTATGAGAGAATGGAAGTTAGGATTTGCCCTTAAATGCAGCTTGTATTATTTTGACCTCTGCAGTAAAATTATTGACCTAATTCTGTGTTTTGGGGGACTTTTGTGGCCCAGTTTTTGACTTCTTACTGTAAGAATACACACAGAGAGATACAGTGGCTTGCGAAAGTATTCACCCCCCCCTTGGCATTTTTCCTATTTTGTTGCGTTATAACCTGGAATTAAAATGGATTTTTTGAGGGCTTGTATCATTTGATTTACACAACATGCCTACCACTTTGAAGATGCTATTTTTTTTTATGTGAAACAAACAAGAAATAAGACAAAAAAACAGAACTTGAGCGTGCATAACTAGTCAAATGGCACGTTGTGTTTGCTAATCTAAGTTTATCGTTTTAAAAGGCTAATTGATCATTAGAAAACCCTTTTGCAATTATGTTAGCACAGCTGAAAACTGTTGTGCTGATTTTAAAGAAGCAATAAAACTGGCCTTCTTGAGACTAGTTGAGTATCTGGAGCATCAGCAATTGTGGGTTCGATTACAGGCTCAAAATGGCCAGAAACAAATAACTTTCTTCTGAAACTCGTCAGTCTATTCTTCTTCTGAGAAATGAATGCTATTCCATGCGAGAAATTGCCAAGAAACTGAAGATCTCGTACAACACTGTGTACTATTCCATTCACTGTGTACTATTCCATTCACTGTGTACTATTCAGCACCACTTTTCCATTATTTATTTTTTGAAACAAGTTATTTTTTTCATTTCACTTCACCAATTTCGACTATTTTGTGTATGTCCATTACATGAAATCCAAATAAAAATCCATTTAAATTACAGGTTGTAATGCAACAAAATAGGAAAAATGCTAAGGGGGATGAATACTTTTGCAAGGCACCGTATACACCCACCCACATACAGTTGAAATAAAAGATAGCGCTTCAGACCCTAATGAATCCCTCCCACCTCTTTGTATCACTGATTGCAGGAGGTCGTGTGTGGCTCTTCATTGGCTTCATGCTGGCGTTCGGCTCTCTCATTGCTTCCATGTGGATCCTGTTTGGAGGCTTCGTAGTGCCCAGTAAGTCCAGCATGCCCACTCAGCATGTGCTTATTGTTATGTACCCCAAACAAATAGCTCATCGACATTGAGCAGTCATTGTGCAAAACATAAATAATTATAAAGGTATTTTTTTATGTTTACAGAGAAACCTGTTGTGTATCCTGGTATTGCTGTTTTCTTCCAAAATGCATTCATTTTCTTTGGGTAAGTATTCTTAAGTTTTCTTTGTTTGACCTTAAGTAAATTGTATTTTCTGTTATCTATAATACCATGTCTACGATGATTATTTTCTCTAAATTAACCCCCACTCTTTTCCTCCAGGGGCTTGGTGTTTAAGTTTGGACGCACTGAAGACTTGTGGCAGTAATGGTTTCTGTCTACTGTTCTCTTGTTGTATGAGACAGTAGTGTATGCTCCAGTCTGTCAGAACACTACTGTCTTTCAAGCATTAGAAAATATACACATTATATAATGACTTTTATTTTGCTTTTTAGATTAACTTGTTTAATTTACAAGTAGGTTTGTTGTTGCTGTACAAATGTACATTTTACTAAAGCATAATTTGCAATTTATCATCTTTTAATCCAATGTTCTTTTCTTTTGAATTCTTGTAATGGGATCTAGGTGTCTTTTCACTCCAAATGTGTGGAGCCATTCTGTTACAATAATTGCCTACCTTCCATTATTTATCTTGGAAACCTTACAAAACAGAATAAATGAGCAGATTTGTTTTTACAATACACATTTGTGCACTAATGATATGTTTTCAAATATTTTGCTTTCTGATGAGGACATGCATCCGGGGGGGGGAGGACACATATCTATGGGAGAGTTAGTCTTGTAAGTAGCCTATTTTCTTACTATACATTTACTGATAATAAGAATTTAACCTTGAATGTGAGCCATTTGTCTTTTCTATTGTCAAGATGTGGGGTCTGTAATTGAGCCAATCTACTGAACCATAATCTGAAGGTCCGTAACTCAAGCTGTAGTTTAAAGGTGGGATTTGATTCCTCAAGGTTTTGATGCTCTGACCCCCATCTGGTTCTTTGACTATGTATTTGACTGCAATGCTTATACATTTACAGTACTTGTATAATAACCAAACCGTGAGAACTTTTCTGAACCTGAACAACTATGGCAGCATTAAATAGAAAATGTACAACACACAAGTGTGAGATGAGTCTTTATGCACAGCTCTCAGTTCAATTTCTCTGTTCTCTTGGCTAATATTTGAAGTTTGACTCACACAAAACAATCACAATGGCATATTACAGTGCAGTTTTCACATACTAAGAAATAACAAACATTTTTGTTTTGAAAGATTCATGGGAATATTGTATGGTTGAAATGATGCATTGCATCTCGAGACCTTTTCATCTCCTTTTATCTTCCAACCTCTCCATTTTGCAATGATAGGGGGGGGGGGAAACTGCAAAATAATGATTTTGGTTAGAGACAGCATAACTTTAGAGGCACAAATCTATTGCTTGATTATAAAACTGCATGGATTTGTAAAAACAATTGTTTGATACAAACAGAGCATTTCACTCATCATTGATTACTTACCTACCAGAAAGCCTGGTCATCAAAGCATTTATTGTCCTGTGGTGGCCTCCAGAAATTCAATTTCTGAAAACCTGAGCAAGAATGAACAGGTTTGTGGTTAAACCCACAATCCTCTAGTGAGTCCAATAAGACATATGTACTGTAGAAACTCCCAGGTGCCTGAGATGACAAATCGGACAGCCCTTGAAAAGATGCATAACCTAATTCAAAGGATACCCCACATGAATGTGTACAACTAGAGTGATTATGTAATGCCCTATCAAATGCAGCGATAATTTATGTGTCCCCAATGCTATTTTATTCCCTTCAGATCCTGTAAACCTAGGTTATTTTAATACCACCTACGTTGTAAGATCAGAGTCAGCGATCTGTAAGATAAGTGGAACCATCCACCCCAGGATTTCAGGCAGACCATGGACACTAAGGACTCCGCAGGTGTCATGGCACTCAAACGCAAACAGCATGAGGGGCTGGAAGACAAAGTAGTAATATGAGATAAGGGCTTTTCATATTATTCTTATAAGATAGAGACAGTTTGCAAAAACATTTAGAAAGCCTATGGGCAATTAATACATTTTGTTTATCAATATCTTAATGCAGGGTTTCCCAAACTCAGTCCTCGGGAACCCAAGGGGTGCACATTTTTGTTTGTTGCCCTAGCACTACACAGCTGACTCAATCAACTAATCATCAAGCTTTGATCATTTGAATCAGCTGTGTAGTGTTCGTGCAAAAACCAAAACATACACCCCTTGGGGTTCCGAGGACTGAGTTTGGGAAACACTGCCTTAATGTATCGGGATCCCAAGGTTGATGTCAGTGAAGAAGCAAAACCAATCGTTATACTTGCCCATTACAGAGAACGGTCAATTGTATTTTTCTCATGCTGTTGCTCGGATCCTCGTCGGTACACGACCCATGACATCAGTCCAAAGAAGGCCCCAAAGATGTGGAGCAGCATGATGGTATTCAAAAACCACACCTGTGTGTAAACAGACACCTGACCATCAGTATCCAGTCTAAAAACACATCATTTTATCAGCTGTAGGCTTACTTTTAGGAATGTCATTGAGCACAAACCCTGAGACCTCAGCAGGGCAATAAGAAGGAGATGGACAGGATTGGTCTTCCCAAGGACAGCACCTATAGCAATGAGGGAGAATGCTGTGCACATCTCTGCAACAACCAAGCTGGTCCAAACACAGAAAAGGGGTTCAATATCTATGATATCTGCTTTCAACAGATAACAATACATGAATATAGACATTTTAACAATAATCAAATTGGCAGGTAAAAAAATCTGGGAGCTTTAGGTAATGTTTTCAAATCTCAAAATTGATCTAATGTTCAGATGAGTCCATCTCCCACGAAATCTGAAGTTTAGTTTAGATCCAATTACACGATGCCTCAATGCCAGATGAATAGAAAGATAGACACCATCTAAAATATGCCTGTCTTTCCCATACACCACAACTTTGATTTATTTATTGACCTTCTCATATTTTATTTTATTTAATTTTTTACATTTTTAAAAATATTTATCTAGATCTTTCATCTGTGATACAAAGACTCAACACCGTACAGGATAACTGCCCACTGGACAGCCATGGCTGCCACCAGGAGGGTAAATCCTGTGCCACTGAAGCTGTACCGCACCAGGAACGTGGCCAGAAAGCCAAAACCCAGAATCACCGTAATGTTAACATCCTGGAAAGAGAGGACACATAATATGTCACAGAAGGGAAAGGAAATAGGGGAAACAGATTCTGTATCACTAGTCTTGTGAGCCTATAGCCTGCCCAATAAGCCCCTAATGCCTTATGTGGATAAATAGAGCTGAATTGTCTTGTTGCCCCACACAAAGTTTGTGTATTACTGACCACTGAAACTGTGTACAATGCAGCTAGCCATTATGTGGGGAGGCTTTACCCGCCTCAACAAGTCCACCTGCAACCTCGTTGGCCAAGCCAGAGAAAGCACTTTTCACTTCTAACCAGCGTTGGTAGCCCCTCCCCATCCTGTCTGTTGCTCTTCTCTCTCTCTCTCTGTGTCTCTCTGTGTCTCTCTCATAACTACATTTGGACAAATTTCAATAAAAAGGTACACACATCCTATTAATGAAGTGGGAATCTGTGATGCAAAACTATACCCATTAATTCTTGAAGAATATAACTTATAAATTCCTCATCCCACTGGGCACACACTGGTTGAATCAATATTGTTTCCACATTATTTCAATGAAATTATATTGAACCAATGTGGAATAGACGTTGAATTGACGTCTGGGCCCAGTGGGATGAGCTTTCAACTGTCTTACCTTATGATCACTCAGCTACACAGCTGATGCCTGCTGGACTGTTCCTTTACACGGTACCCTATCCTGTTTATCTGTTTAGCCTCAGCCCAATCTTTCGTCGCCATTACCAGTTGTTGTCTTAGCCCTCTCGAATAACACCTGTGATTGCGTTATGCCTCTCTCCCATGTCAATATGCCTAGCCTATTGCTGTTTGGGATAGTTCTTATTGTACTATTTCACTGTAGAACCTCCAGTCCCGCTCAACCAGCCTCAGAGAGCTCCTTTGTCCCACCCCCCATACACGCGGAGACCGGCTCAATCGGTACCTCCAGTGATGCTACCTCTTTCATCGTTACCCAATGCTTAGGTGTACCTCCACTGAACTCATATCCTTCCATATCCTTGTCTGTACATAATGCCCTGAATCTATTCTACAACGCCCGGAAATCCTTTTATTCTCTGTACCCAACGCACTAGAAGACCAGTTCTTAAAGCCTTTAGCCGTATCCTTATTATATTCCTCCTCTGTTCCTCTGGTGATGTAGAGGTTAACCCAGGCCCTGTAGCCCCCAGTATCACTACTATTCCCAGGAGCTATCATTTGTTGACTTCTGTAACCGTAACAGCCTTGGATTCTTGCATGTCAACATCAGAAGCCTCCTCCCCAAGTTTGAGTAATTCACTGCGTTAGCACACTCTGCCAAACCTGATGTTCTAGCAGTGTCTGAATCCTGGCTTAGGAAGGCCACCAAAAATTCAGAAATGTCCATCCCGAATTACAACATTTTCCGTCTAGATAGAACTGCCAAAGGGGGCGGAGTTGCAATCTACTGTAGAGATAGCCTGCAGAGCTCTATCATACTATCCAGGTCTGCCCAAACAGTTTGAGCTTCTACTTCTAAAAATCCACCATTCCAGAAATAAGTCTCTCACTGTTGCCGCTTGCTACAGATCCCCCTCAGCCCCCAGTTGTGCCCTGGACACCATATGTGAATTGCTTGCCCCCCATCTATCCTCAGAGTTCGTACTGCTTGGTGACCTAAACTGGGATATGCTTAACACCCCGGGCGTCCTACAATCTAAACTAGATGCCCTCAATCTCACACAAATTATCAAGGAACCTACCAGGTACAACCCTAAATCTGTAAACATGGGCACCCTCATAGATATCATCCTGACTAATTTACCCTTTAAATACACCTCTGCTGTCTTCAACCGGGATCTCAGCGATCACTGCCTCATTGCCTGCGTCCCCTCATCACTGTCAAATGCTCCCTAAAACACTTTAGCGAGCAGGCCTTTCTAATTGACCTGGCCCGGGTATCCTGGATGGATATTGACCTCATTCCGTCAGTAGAGGATGCCTGGATGTTCTTCAAAAGTGCTTTCCTCTCCATCTTAAATAAGCATGCCCCATTCAAAAAATTCTGAACTAAGAACAGATATAGCCCCTGGTTCACCCCAGACTTGACTGCCCTTGACCAGCACAAAAACATCCTGTGGCGTACTGCATTAGCATCGAGCAGCCCCCGCGATATGCAACTTTTCAGGGAAGTAAGGAACCAATATACACAATCAGTTAGGAAAGCAAAGGCTAGCTTTTTCAAACAGAAATTTGCATCCTATAGCACTAACTCCAAAAACTTTTGGGACACTGTAAAGTCCATGGAGAATAAGAGCACCTCCTCCCAGCTACCCATTGCACTGAGGCTAGGAAACACTGTCAACACTGATAAATCTACGATAATCGAGAATTTCAATAAGCATTTTGCTACGGCTGGCAATGCTTTCCACCTGGCTACCCCTACCCTGGCCACCAGCTCTGCACCCTCCGCTGCAACTTGCCCATGCCTCCCCCCCAATTCTCCTTCACCCAAATTCAGATAACTGATGTCCTGAAAGATTTGCAAAATCTGGACCCCTACAAATCAGCTGGGCTAGACAATCTGGACCCTTTCTTTCTAAAATTAGCTGCCAAAATTGTTGCAACCCCTATTACTAGCCTGTCCAACCTCTCTTTCGTATCATCTGAGATCCCCAGAGATTGGAAAGCTGCCGCGGTCATCCCCCTCTTCAAAAGGGGGTGACACTCTAGATCCAAACTGTTACAGACCTATATCCATCCTGCCCTGCCTTTCGAATGTATTTGAAAGCGAAGTTAACAAACAGATCACCGACCATATCGAATCCCACCGTACCTTCTCCGCTATGCAATCTGGTTTCCGAGCTGGTCATGGGTGCACCTCAGCCACGCTCAAGGTCCTAAACGATATAATAACAGCGATCGATAAAAGACAGTACTGTGCAGCCGTCTTTATCGACCTGGCCAAGGCTTTTGACTCTGTCAATCACAGCATTCTTATTGGCAGACTAAATAGCCTTGGTTTCTCAAATGACTGCCTCGCCTGGTTCACCAACTACTTCTCAGATAGAGTTCAATGTGTCAAATCGGAGGGCCTGTTGTCTGGACCTCTGGCAGTCTCTATGGGGTGCCACAGGGTTCAATTCTCGGGCCGACTCTATTCTCTGTGTATATCAATGATGTCGCTCTTGCTGCTGGTGACTCTCAGATCCACCTCTACGCAGACGACACCATTTTGTATACATCTGGCCCTTCATTGGACACTGTGTTAACAAACCTCAAGCTTCAATGCCATACAACACTCTTTCCGTGGACTCCAACTGCTCTTAAACGCTAGTAAAACTAAATGCATGCTCTTCAATCGAACGCTGCTGGCACCCGCCCACCCGACTAGAATCACCACTCTCGATGGGTCTGACCTAGAGTATGTGGACAACTACAAATACCTAGGTGTCTGGTTAGACTGTAAACTCTCCTTCCAGACTCACATTAAGAATCTCCAATCCAAAGTTAAATCTAGAATCGGCTTCCTATTTCGCAACAAAGCCTCCTTCACTCATGCTGCCAAACATGCCCTCGTAAAACTGACTATCCTACCGATCCTTGACTTCGGCGATGTCATTTACAAAATAGCCTCCAACACTCTACTCAGCAAATTGGAAGTAGTCTATCACAGTGCCATCCGTTTTGTCTCCAAAGCCCCATACACTACCCACCACTGTGACCTGTACGCTCTTGTTGGCTGGTCCTCACTACATGTTCGTCGTCAAACCCACTGGCTCCAGGCCATCTATAAATCACTGCTAGGCAAATCCCCGCCTTATCTTAGCTCATTGGTCACCATAGCAGCACCCACCCGTAGTCTGCGCTCCAGCAGGTATATCTCACTGGTCATTCCCAAAGCCAACACCTCCTTTGGCCACCATTCCTTCCAGTTCTCTGCTGCCAATGACTGGAACGAATTGCAAAAATCTCTGAAGCTGGAGACTCTTATCTCCCTCACTAACTTTAAGCATCAGTTGTCAGAGCACCTTACCGATCACTGCACCTGTACACAGCCCATCTGAAATTAGCCCACCCAACTACCTCATCCCTATATTGTTATTTATTTTGCTCTTTTGCACCCCAGTATCTCTATTTGCACTCCTTTCTCTAGCATTCCAGTGTTAATACTAATTGTAATTATTTTGCACTATAGCCTATTTATTGCCTTACCTCTATAACTTGCTACATTTGCACACACTGTATATATATTTTCTGTTGTATTTTATGACCTTATGTTTTTTTTACCCCATATGTAACTCTGTGTTGTTGTTTTTATCGCACTGCTTTGCTTTATCTTGGCCAGGTCGCAGTTGTAAATGAGAACTTGTTCTCAACTGGCTTACCTGGTTAAATAAAGGTGAAATAAATAAAAATAAATAAATAAATAGCGCTGTCTATGAATTGGAGAGTGGTTAAATTTCTCCAGCCCCATCACTCAGCTGTTTACCAAAACAGTATTGGAAGACCGTTTGTTGTTGTTTGAAACGCAGATTGCACCTTAAAAACAAAGATATCCCAAAAGCATGTTTTATTAAGACATTTGTTTTGTTTCATAAAAAGTATTATTTCTCTTGAATTCTACTCCTGTCCACCACTTCTCCAAAACAGCACATTAGAATTGTTCTGCAACTCACCTTAGTAATACTTGGTGAATGCATGTTGTTTAGTTTCAAAATTTTGTTCAATGTAAACATAAAAAAGAAATACTAGGATGAATCCCGAATGCAGGAAAAATAGCAGAGACTCGGTGCGTATTGGGGAGCCATTGGCGTGTCTAACTACAAATGACCAAATGGTGCCAAAACAATTGTTTCTGCTGCGCCGCGCAACCCTTTCTACGCGCAACCAGAATGTCCCGTTGGCGAGGAAGCGCAGCTACTTTGCCCGGGGTATTGCCTGGGGTGGGGACCCTCTGTTTTATTCTGTTTATGTTTACAAGTCATCTTTGTAAATGTCGACGCCGCTGCAGGTTTTTGGGCCATCCATATTTGGAGGGTAAA